GAGGCTCAGGCTCAGGCATTCTCTTCTATATGCACATGCTGCATATACATCCACTTAGGCACACATACACCCACACAAGTGTACACTCACAATATATATGTGCATGTTATGCATATATAAAATGTGTGTGTAACATCTGTTATTTATGTGTATATATATATATGTAGTTTTATATAGTGTATACACTATATATAGAGAGAATTTGTTTCTTTTTTGAGACAGGGTTTCTTGGTGTTACAGCCCCAGCTGCCCTGGAATTCACAGAGATCTGTCTCCGGAGTGCTGGCATTAAAGACATGCACCACCACACCTCGCTACAAAAAATATTTTTAAATGCTCTATTCTTTCATCAAAACTGATTTTTCTGGCTCTAAGTAGAGGTACAGTTCTGTGCTTGATGTCTCCTCTGTTCGTGCTAGGAAAATAGCTCATGGTAAGTGTGTGTGCCATAGTCCTCAGGCTCGCTCTACAGTGCCTGTACTTCACCACAATCTTAAAGTACATAATGTACAGTGTCCTCCGAGTCCTGGGCTCCAGAGGACCCCCAGGACATCATTGACAACCCAGGCATACTAACTGATCACGCCTAAACCTGTCTCTTGTCTTGATTCTCTCCTGCCTCATGAGGGCTTTCAGGAAAGTTAAAACCCCACTCTTCTATCCTCCATACTCAACACCTTGCCTTTCTGGTCTATTCCCTAATGAGAACTTTTTCTCCACACCAGGTCTGCCACTTGCTCTTTCTATACACTGCTTTGTTCCAAGTCATTATCTAGGTGGCTATAGCCAAGGTTGATCCCTCTTATCACTCTAGCAAGATTTCCTCTTCTGCTCCACACGTTCAGTCTCTCTGCCTTCTTCAATGGCTACTCAACATTTTTTTCTTCCAAAAATTGTGATTAACTCTCACATGCCTCTAGAACAACGATACTGGCCAATCATTCCTTGACCAGATCCTAAGACATCAAACCCTTCTCTAGATCACACAAGCTAGGGTTATCTGGGAAAAAGGAACCTCAATTAAAAAAATACTTCCATTACATTAGCCTATAGGCAAGTCTGTTGTATTTTCTTGATTAGTGATTAATACGGGAGGGCGCAGCCCACTGTGGTCAGTGCCATCCATGGATAGGTGGTCCTGGTTTTTTAAGAAAGAAATAGAACAAGCCATGAACAGTAAGCCAGTAAGCAGCATTCCTCTATGGCCTCTGTTTCAGTTCCTGCCTTGGCTTCCCTTGATGATCGACTGTTATTAGAATATACAAACCCCGTCCTCCCCAAGTTGCTTTTGGTCATGGTGTCTTTGTTATAGCAGTAGACAGCAATTAGGGGATTAGTGATTAAGAGCACTGGCTACTCTTCCAGAGGACCTGAGTTCAATTCCCAGCACCCACACAGTGGCTCACAACCCTCTGAAACTTCAGTCCCAGGGAATCCATTGAGCTTTTCTGGCTTCCATGAGCACCAGACATGTATATGGTGCGTAGTCATGGGTGTAGGCAAAATGCCTACACACCTAAGCATACACATACACCTATACATGCACATATGCATCTATGTGTATGGCCACTTTCCCCTGCTACTAGTATATAGGATGCTGTATTTCTTATTAATAAACTCGGTTGGCATTAATGCTGAGTAAATGCAATCGTATTGTGTGTTCTCCAAGTCTCTTGTCAGAGCGCTTTGTGACTGTTTTCATGGACTTGTGTTTTTCATTTTGTCTCCTATCTAACAGCCAGTCTCTGTCTATGACTTGATGTATTTTTCTTACATACTTGTGCTGGTTGATTTTGTCAATTTGTCACAAACCTAAATATATCTGGGAAGAAGGGATCTCAACTGAGGAATTACCTCCATCAGATTGCCTTGTCGGCAAGTCTGCGAAGGCTTTTTATTGAATGTGGACTGATGTGGGAGGGCTCAGACCTAGGGTGGTGGCACCCCTAGAAAATGGTCTTAGGCTGTATACGAAAAGAAACTGAGGGGCTGGAGAGATGGCTTAGTGATTAAGAGCACTGACTGCTCTTCCAGAGGACCGGAGTTCAATTCCCAGCACCTGAGTGGCAGCTCACAACTGTCCAAGATCTGATAACCTCACACAGCTATACATTCAGACCAAACCACCGGAGCTTAACGGCCTGTAATCTAGACTATATCAAGCATGGCAGTGGGTCAGGTAGGTTTAAGAAGGGGTCAAAGACAGGAAGCAAGAGGCAGCAGGAGAAGGGCTGTGGAAGGAGCTAGGACAGCCCAAATACTGGAGGTCTGCAGACACAGAGAAGGCAGCATGCAGGAGAGTCCTGGCATTTAGTTAAAGGATGCCCTGAGCCACTGGTTCACAGGCTCCACCCTTTCAGAAGTCATTTTCTTCTGTGGCTTAGCCACTGGTCAGTTTCTTATTTCCCTGTATATAGCCCTTCCCCCATTCTCCTGTGAGATGCCCTAATTAAACTCACAGGATCATGAAATAAAGGCAGGTGATAAAAGGGAGTTATTTAGGAAGCGGAAGGGGATGGACAGGAGTGCTGGGAGACAGAGTAAACAGGGGTGAAGGTGGAGGGAGTATCATTAAACTCTATTCAGGTTTAGAAGTATCATACCCATTAAGTGTATTTAACATATGCTAATACACAAAACTGTAAAATCCAGTCATTACTTAAAAGGCTTGAGGCAGGACAGCTATTTATGACAGAGAGGGGACATGGAAGGGGGTAATGCCCTTTTACTCTCTTGGTCTGAACAGTTTATTTCAGGTCGACACACAGATCTTTAGACATAACAAACCAGGCCACTTGAGAATCAGCTGAGCGACCCCTCACTGAGAAACATCACAATTGAGAATTGGTTTTATTATTTCGTTTACTTTTTAAATTGTGTGTTTGTGTGTGTGTGTATATACGTGTGTGTGTGTGTGTGTGTGTGTGTGTGTGTGTATGCACCTGTTCCTGAGGGCACATGAGTGCAGGTGTCACAGAGGCTAAAAGAGGGTTGGATTCCCCTGGAGCTGGACCCAGGTGGTTGTGAGCCCGACATGGTTGTTTGGAATTGAACTCAGGTTCTTGGAAGAGGAGCCAGTGCCCTTAACCACTGAGCCATCTCTTCGGCCCACAAGACTGCTGAAATGGCTAATGGATGATGTCTTAAATCCAAGGCCCTTGTGACGTATATAGAAGCAAGTATCCTTTGGGTTGGTATTGTGTGTGCATGTGTCTGAATGCTCTTGTAGACGTTTGTGCATGTGTGTGTGGAGGCCTCAAGTGTTATTCTCTTAGGCCTCTCTCCTTTTCAGATCTGTTTCTCAGCGGCCAGCAAGCCCCGGACTCCACCTGCTTATGTCTCCCCACTGCTGAGATGACAAGCCAACCCACCACTCCTGGCATTTAACACCCACCTGCCTCACTTGAGTCCTAAGGGAGCTCAAGTGAGCGGGAGTTTTTGTTTGCTTGTTTGTTTAGCTTTGTTCTTCATTTGTTTTTTCCACTGAGAAGCTTCCCAGCACTTGTCAATGTATTTATTTCTACTAGATTCTCTTCTCCACCATGCAATGTACCTTGAAAGTTTCTTTTCCAAGAGCAAATTCTTTGGAGAAGAAAAATACATGAATTGGTACTCTCTCCCCTCACATCTAAGCTTAGAGACTCAGTAGCTTTATAACACCTCAGATCACTGATATTGCTGCTAGCCACTTGGGTCCTGTCAAGTTTCAAACCTGGGACAAAGGGCCAAGGTGCCTCTTTAACATATGAACGTGGACATGCACTCCAGCTTCTCCTTGTGTCCCTCAGCCCCTACCTGTTGCATACATGATGGCATAGGCAGTCCCCTACCCAGAATTCTCCAGTCCAGGGGGCTGGCGGCTCTTCCCTACATAATACAAACATTTTATTTACCAGCACCTGACTCCCCTCTCCCATCAATCCCTTCGCCTTCCTGATATTCCTTTTATCTATAGGAAGCTTTCTCCTCCACCGTACCTAGGTGCAGTCACGTTCCTTTCTTTCCTCTGTTTGTTTTCTCATTCAGGTACATTCCTCTCCTAATATGCATAGTGGAGTTCTCAAGTCTTGACTTTATTCAGTGGCCTGGATAAACTTGGCAACCTGTCCTGAAATTCTGTTATGTCAAAGGATTAGCTGTCCAAATCCCAGGTTCTGAGCAGGCTCAGTCTACACTGCCACCATGTTTGGTTGTATTTCCTGTTGCCTGGTCTGGAAATTAGGGTATCATCAAGATGTCAATTCTGCAGTGTGATAGCGAATATAAATTTTAAGTTAATTTTGAAAACACATTCGTGATTATTTGGTTGAGGGGTTTTTTTGGGGGGTTGTTTTGGTTTTTGTTTTTTGGGCGGCAGGGTTTGTTTGGTTAATGAGATCGATCCTTAGTTCAATATGTCTTTGCCACAGTTAGTGTTAACATAGGGGCCTGGCTTGAGGGATCCTCTCCGTTAGACTGGCCTGTGGGCCCTCCCTAGGGAGGTTGGCGGGGGAGGGGGGTTGTATTAGAAAAGTAGCCAAGCACACAGGAGAGGTTGCCAAGTAAGCAGCGTCCTGCTTTAGCATCCCTCAATGATAGACTGTAAAGTCCAAGATGAAATAAGCCCTTTCCTCCCCGACTTGGTTTCAGTCAGTGTTTATCTCAGTAACAGAGAAGCAAGCTATTATCTTTACTTCGGACCTTTTATCTTTACTACTCTGAGGACCTCCAGGTGAAGAGGAAGTGTTTGTGAGAAGAGTTTGAATTCTTAAGCTTCTCCTGTAAATGGTTCTTAGTTCTTTTCTCTTCATAAGAGCCTTCTGAACGGTCTCACTATTGAGAGATACTTAAAACGGGAGAGGGCGCGTTCATTCGCCCCTAAACGAAGTACACGCTTGCTGCCTCCACGACTTTTGGTCCCCCTGAGATCCCGGCAGAGACTACATTTCCCGGCAGGCTGTGCTCAGACCTACGGGTGCCTGCACTGGGCCGATACGCTCAGAGGGCGACACAGTCGCGGTGCGGGCTGCTGACGGGCAGGCGCTTCGCGGTTTGAATGGCTGCGGGCCCGGGCCCTCAGCGCATCTGAAGAACCGCGGCCTCGGGGTGAGCGATGGCTTCTGGAGGCAACCAGTCACCGCCGCCTCCTCCTCCGGCCGCAGCCAGCTCGGAGGAAGAGGAGGAGGATGGCGACGCCGCGGACGGCGCTCAGCCCGCGGGGTCCCCGGGCCATCAGATCCAGCAGCGGTTCGAGGAGCTGTGCAGCCGCCTCAACATGGACGAGGCGGCGCGCGCCGAGGCCTGGAGCAGCTACCGCAGCATGAGCGAGAGCTACACGCTGGAGGTGCGTGCGCAGACCATCCGCGGAGGTCGGGGACTCAGGGTGGCTCTGGGGTCCCTTGTCGTTTGCACCGCACCGTTGCCTCTGCCCTGGCTTTGCAGCCGTCAGAGGAGACGCGTTAAGTTTCGGGCTTGCTTTCGTTTGAGAACGGCTTAAGGTTTGTTACTCTCCCCGGCGATTTGAAAAACCGGGTGTAGACACACAACATCTGTTGCTGAGCTCGGGCACTCTTTTTGGCTGTCATCCAGGTATATAGGCTTGTAATGTCCCGTTTGGGGGACGGAGCTTGCGGTTGACAAAAATGGCCATTCGAACCAGTGCCTGTCAACTCTGCAGGCACCTCCCCTGCATGGGCCAATGGGAAGTGACACGGAAGTCCGGATTGTTTATCAGCTGCCTGTGCGTGCGGCCCTCTGATTTTATGTGTAGCTTATAGAAGGGGCAGAGCGATTCAAAGGCCAAGCAAGGTGTTAACTATAATACGGTGGTTGTGCCTGCATCTTTCTGCTAAGTCGGTTTGTTTGTTTGTTGCGCTGTTCACACATCGAATTCCTCCTCCCCATTGTTATACTCACAGAAAAGAAATACCACGGCCTTAGACTTAGATCTGAGTGACTGAGGACAAGTTTTTAACCACTGTGAAACTCAGCTTTATTGTGTGTAAGCTGGAGATATTTGTGTCCACTTCAGAGTGCTCTCCTAAAGGTTAACTAAGGCCAATGTGTATGTGTGCAGAAAAGCTCTTTCTTCATCTTCGAGATGGCCCTATAAATGAGCTAGAACAAGCATTATCACAACACGGCAGAGGCTTCACATGACAGCAACCACGTCATGTGAAGCCTGGTGTCATATATGCAAGTGACATTTAATAGATGCTTAGTAAATTATTATCATTTTAAACTCATTCTACTCGTGTGTGGGTAAGGGTGGACTGTTTCCTGAGTACCTGTCATTTGCCACAGTGTTCTAGGTACTGAGAATAAAGCGGTGGACAAAACCTAAAACTCCCTGACTTGAGCTTATAGCCAGGAATGCTGCAGACTAATGCGGGCCCGCAGTGTTCTGAAAGCGTTCAGAAGAAAATAAAGCTCACCTGATATTTACTATTTAGCATTGGCTGTAGAATTGTCTCGATCTTTTTTCTGCATTCTTTTTTAAAAAATTTATTTTATGTGTATAAATGTTTTGCTTGCATGTATGTCTGTGCACCAAATGCAGGTTGGAACCTGAAGAGGCCAGAAGAGGGCGTCTTCCCTGGTTCTGTAATTATGCATTTATGAGCCAACATGTGGGTACTGGGAATGAAACCTGAGTCCCCTGGAAGAGCAGCTACTGCTATTATCCACTGAGCCATTTCTCCAGTCCCGTTTTCTGAATCCTTGTAGCACATTTAATTCTGACAGTTGTCAGCTAAGAAAAAGAAACCTCTGGGCTTAAGTAGTTTAAGTGCTCTCGAATGTGTGGCAGAGGCAGGATTTAACAGCAGTTCTATTTGGCTTATGTGGCCATGGACTGTGAATTTGAAATGACCCGCCACACACACAATTTATTTTGGAGACAGGGTCTTAATATAGTGCTACCTGACCTTGAAGTTGCTAAGGGTGTAGCTGAGGGTGACATTGAACTTCTGATCCTCATGCCAATTGGCGTTATAAGAGTGGACCATCATATTCAATTAATGCCCAAGACCTTAAGCATGCCAGGGAAGCCCTCTAACAGCTAAGCTGCCTCCTCAGTCCCATGATGACTGTTACAGACTTTTAATAAATATTTTTCTAAGGCTAATGAGGAACCTGGCCTCAAAGCTTGTCTCCATCTCCTTTATCCTTCAAGCATTATAAAACTCTAATGTGTAAGACTTTGGGGGAGGGTTGTGTGATGTAGTTAAAATTCTCTCTAAAACTAAATAGACTACAGTAGATCATCTACCTTAAACACTTGTTTAGAACAAAGTTGACATTATAACTGCTTGCTTGTATTCTTCCTAAAAGATCTTGATGCCAGAATAATTCAGTAGTTTCAAAGCTCAGTTTACCTCAGGGTCATATAATGGGGAAGACTGTGACAGTGTGGGGTTAAGATTGCACTGCAGCCGAGAGTGTACGGTGAGTGAGGTATTACTCACCGTACAGGTATACTACCTGTAATGCTGAGCAGTGCTAAAACAAAAACAAAAATCAAAACCATCCTCAAAACCAAACAGCTCATGAAACCATTTCTCAGAGCTGTGCTTAAGGGTCAGGGAGAGGACTTGATGGATTAAGTACTTGCCCTGCAAGCATGGGGACCTGAGTTTGGATCCTAGCATCCATCCATGCTGAAAGCCAGGCTACCAGGCTGTGGTTTGGGAAGTCAGGCAGTATGATGGAGATGCCATGTATCTGCATCAAAATAACTGTCGTCCCACCTGGAAGCCTTGAGCAACAAGATGGGCACAGCTCAACACAGCTCAGCGAGGCAGGTCCCCTAATTGGCCACTGCCATGTTGTCTCTCTCTCAGCATGACAGCTGAAGGTAGTCCCACGTTTTCTGTGCTGGTTTATGACTCTCAAGGGACACATCCTCAAAGATGGAGCCAGGTGGGATTGACAGTGTCCTTTGTGACCTTTGAAATTGCACTACCTGTGTATTAGTAGGTAATCAGGTAAAGGGACATAAGACACCCTACCATGCATGGAAGAGGACGTGGGCTAGGGCCATCATAGGAATATCACTCTCAATATTAGTGCGAGATGTCTTATACTGAAACATATAGAGGTCATTAGCTAAAGCTCTGTTTTCTTTTTCAGGGAAATGATCTTCATTGGTTAGCATGTGCCTTATATGTGGCTTGCAGAAAATCTGTTCCAACTGTGAGCAAAGGGACTGTTGAAGGAAACTATGTGTCTTTAACTAGAATCCTTCGCTGTTCTGAGCAGAGGTAACTATATTAGAGCTTAAGAAGTAGAATGTAGCTAAAATTAAAAAAAAAAAAACTTACAAATCACACTGATGAAAATTTTCTTTGTTTGCTATTTTCTGAGCATCTGACATGTAGATTGTTGAATCTAGAAACTGGGTTGTGGCTTTCCTTTACCATTTCAGAGACAGAGTCATATTGTACTAACTTGAGTGTATTTGCACTTTAATGCATTAAAGCTTATGACTCATTGTGTAATGATCCAGTAAGTTTAAATGAAGATATTGAGATGCTTTTGCTGATATTTTGGATTGAAAAGGTAAATACCAATCATGAGGCATCATGCTTAGATACATACACATAGAGCTTGTGTTTTAATGTATATGAAATGTGCAGTAGAATTGAAGCTATTTATTCTCTGGTCCTAAAGAAACTCCTATACAGATACCAAGGTGTTTATTGCACCATTTAAAAATTCATGGTTTTTATAGTCACGTGAGTGTTTGTTTGTATGTATATATATGTACCATATGTGTTCCTGGTGTCTATGGAGGCCAGAAGAACGCGTGGATCTAACTCCTGGCACTGGAGTGACAGATGGTTGTGAGCTTCCATGTGGGTGCTGCGACAGAACCTGGGTCCTCTGTGAGAGCAACAAACGCTCTTAGCCTCTGAGCCTCTTCTCCAGCCCTATACCATTTTGTTAGAGGAAAGTTAGAAGTAACTTGTTTCTGCTGATTGAATGAATACAGAAGGTCATTGTATGTTCATAGGAATAATTAAATGGATTAGGTATTTCCATATATTGACTTTAATGACTCTCAGAAACATTAAATGAAAGTTAAGTTGCAGAATGCTACTTACAGTGTGATACATTTACATAAAATCTAAAAGGAAACAAAAGATACTTCTTATTCTTTGTAAGTGTAAGTATGGCAAATAATCAAACTCACTTCAGAATGGGGGTTACACTTGGGAGGAGTGGAGAATGACTTAGGATGTAGAAATTGAAATTTTGGCTGTTTCTACACTAACTTTAGTATCTTCGTTTTTTAGTATTTTGGTATCATTTTACTTTATGTGTATGAGTATTTTGCCTGTATGTATGTGAACCATGTGTATGTTTGGTGTCCAAGGAGGTCAGAAGAGGGCATCAGATCCCCTGGGACTGTAGTAAAAGATGGTCATGTGTGACCTTGTGGGTGCTGGGCATTGAACCCAGGTCTTCTGCAACAACAGCAAATACCTTTAACTGCCGAGCCATCTTCCAGCCCCTAAGGTTTAGTATTGAAGTGATCTGAGCTGGGGCCAGTGAGACAGCTCCTTGGATAAAAGCCCCTGCCACACCCACAGGAAAAAAAAAAGTGTTAGTGTGGACAGAGTTGAGGAAGGCATCCAGAATCAATTTCTGGCTTTCATGTGTGTTTCCACACATCACCTATATGATTATGTACACACACAAAGAAACCAAACCTGACAGAGTAGATTAAGAGGGTTGGAATCATAAAACAGATGGTAGGAGGTTAAGCTAGTCAAAGGCATGCCTTTGATTTTATGTCATTGCTCAAATGTAATTTGATGAAATGATTTTGGTTTACTGTTAATCACTTGTATTGGCATAATGTCACCTTTACATTATTAAAGTACCTCATTTTTATTTTTATTATTAGCTTAATTGAATTTTTTAACAAGATGAAGAAGTGGGAAGACATGGCAAATCTACCACCACATTTCCGAGAACGTACTGAAAGACTAGAAAGAAACTTCACTGTTTCTGCTGTAATTTTTAAGAAATATGAACCCATTTTTCAAGACGTTTTTAAGTATCCCCCAGAAGAACAACCCCGCCAGCAGAGAGGACGAAAGCAGAGGTATGCTTGGTGTCTCTGGGAGCCACTTTCTTCTGGAGCATGGTTCATCACTCCTTAAAAAGAAACACGCTTTCATAAGTAACTTTTCCTAAGAAGTTGGGGTTGTTTGTTTATTTGTTTGTTTGGAGACAGGGTCTCACTATGTAGCCTTGGAAGCATGGAATTCACTTCGCAGACCATGCTGGCCTCCAATTCATAAAGATCTGCCTGCCGCTGCCTTTGAGTCCTGAGTTTAAAGACCATGCCTAGCTTAAAAGTAATGTTTTTAATGATAATTTGTTGTTGTTGTTCTTTACTGTATATTAGAAGTCGCCTGGCTTCTTTCGTAATGCAAAATGTTTGGGTTTTGTGTTGATACAAATTTTCCCTTTTTATTTAAGTAACAAAAAGTACAGGTTACTCAAGTCAGACCTTAACCACTTTCTGTAGTTGACTTCCTTGATATAGACCAGATACTGATATTTTGTATTTCTATTATTTGTCCTTTTTGTCAAACTGAATAATTGTTCATGAAATAAGTTGGATGTTCATATCCAGTCAATGTAGGTTGGGTGAGAATAGGAGAATCCAACTACTATAAACTTGTTTTCTGGTTAGATCTATACAACCAGCTCACCCTGGCTGGTGTTTTCTGTCTTCACAATTACAAGATAACGAACTGCCCTCCTTTAACATGGCTGCTATCATATTATCGTGGACCGTTCCATGCCTGAGACACCATGACTGTCATCATGGACAATTCCATTCCAGGACACTCTGACTGCTATCATGTTATCATGGACAGCGCTGTGGCTGGGACACCATGACTGTTAACATGCACAGCTCCGTGGCAGGCACACATTAGTTTAAAACAGAAAGGGAGATTTTGCTTTTAAAGTATGTCAAGAAATTTCCTCTTAGAATAGGACTACAATAGTATTCACAAGAAATATACAAGGGGCTGGGCATAGTTACACACAACTGTAATCCCAGCATTAAAAAGGCTGAGGCAGGAGGACCGCCTGGACTGTATAAGAGAGATCCTGTCTCAGAAAGCCAAACAGAGAGAAATAGAGCAAAATCAAAACCCCCTAAAATGGGAAAGGAATATCTTTGTGTAGTCAAGCTAGCCTTCAACTTCCTAGGTAGCCCAGGCTGGCTTCAAACTTGCTATCCTCCTGTAGAGGCCTTCCAAGTGCTGGGATTACAGAAATGTTCTATCACACCTCGCTTATTCTATAGGCTCTTGGTGCTTTCTAGCACTTTGTGCTAACAGTCGTACTGTGATATATGACCCTTAACTGTGTGTTTGTTATGAGGCAAGCACTCTTCTCAGATGTGAGCATGTACTATGAAAACCTTATGAGTCTGAGCCTTCTTAGGCACGGGGAAAATAAGCTCCTAGTAGGCAGGCAATCCGTGCACTTGATAGTGGGGAGATTTACTGCAGAATCCAAATACTTGACAGTGATTGCACTGTCTCTTGGGTATGACTGTAATGTATAACTGTGATATGAAAGCTTGTCGCTATGTGTTAAACACAGCAAGGAGAAATAATTGCTTCGGTATTATGTAGGAGATGGGGGTTCAGACAGGACCCATGGTCTCTCTTCTGAGTGTTGACAGTAAAATGAGAAGGGAAATAACATACAGACCATGTAAGTACAGTAGATACAGAAAAATGGGATTTCTGACGCAAAACTAAGTCTAGATGAGCCAGTTTGTAGCATTATGTGAGCAAGTACAAGGGGTGGGAATTTGTTCTTTCTTTGGTGTTTCCAAGACAGGGTTTCTCTGTGTAGCCTTGGCTATCCTGGACTCGCTTTGTAGATCAGGCTGGTCCCAAACTCACAGAGATCCACCTGCCTTTGCCTCCCCAAGTGCTTAGATTACAGGCATGTGCCACGGTGCCCAGCTGAAGTGGATAGGATTTTGGCAGATGACTTTAGAGACAGAGGTGGGGCCTTCAGCACAAAGGAAATAGGAACAGGTGCAGAAGCAACAAGCAAGGGGGAGCTTGGGAGCAGATAAGCTCAGGTATTTCCAGGGTCCTATTGTTACAGAGCTAACACTTAGAGTAGTTTATGTATTACAAGCAAAAAGCATAAATGTTATATTTGAAGTCAATCAAAATCATCAACAGGTTATCACATATTATGGCAGAATGGACTTTTTTTTTTTTTTTTTGAGACAGGGTCTTGTGTAGCCAGGTATCCTTGAACATGCTAATTAGCCAAGCGTGGCCTCAAACTGCAAATTCTTCCGCTTCCACCTCCTGGGTGCTACAAGAAGCCACTCTAGAAGCACAGTGCTGACTAATTTTCACAGGACTGTGGCCTACTAGATCATGCCCAGTACTCCTAACTACAGTAACTTTGATAGATGAGGACGAAGTCCCAGGGAAACAGGTTCATGCCAACCCTCTCTCGCTCTCCTCCAGGGCATGGTGCTCTTCTTGATTAAAATGGGCCACTGTAGAGCTGAGCATGGTGCTGTAACCCCAGCACTCGGCAGATATTCAGGGTCAGCCTGGGTTACATCAAATCCTGTCTCAGAAAACAAAAATAAAACAAAAGATGAGGCTCTTGTGAGTTGGACACCTTAAAAGTCTGATTTAAGCACTGGCAGAGATTTTGGCAGGAAAACTTAGGTAAAGAAGGTCTGAAACTCTCCTTAGCAGGCAGCTTAGTCAAATACAACAGTCTCTTAGTGGATGGAGTCAAGGGCTAAGTATTGGGCTGGAAGTTACTTCGAAGGATGTGATTTTACATGTGAAGTATCTTGTGGGAAGGGTTACAGTTCATCTGCATGAGAGAGGAGGGATAACAGCAGCCCACAGCCTGGCGCCACAAGAGGTATTGTTGTTCTTAACTTGTGCCTTAAATATCTTGACTTCTGCCTGAAAAGCCAAATCTGCCTGTGAGCTTGTTTCACGCCTGATTTGCATCATTTAGGATGTCTTTATTGTAATTCTTGAATTTGTCTCATGTCTTTGTTTCCTGCCCTCCTCTCCCCCCAGGAGACAGCCCTGTACCACAGCTGAAATTTTCCACTTTTGTTGGGTGCTTTTCATATATGCAAAAGGTAAGAGAAGGGTGATGCCTACGTGGATAGGAATTAGCTAACCTATGTTTTTAGGTGCTGATTTTACCAGCTGTGTTATGAATCAGGAAGAAAGCTTCACTTCTTAGGAGTGAGGACTGTCTTTACAGTATGCACATCCCTTTTCATTCTATTCTTGTCCACATCTCTTTGAGGTAAAGCTGTTCTTTTGAGTTGTGAACAGAACCACCCCACTCTGAATTAGCTTGATACAGGGCTCTGCTCTTCATAACATGTACCTGAGAGGGAGTGAAGTCCTCAGAGTATGGATGATGAGTTTCTGCATGTCCACAGGTAACGAGTGTGGCTAAACTTAAACAGGTACTTAGACTCTCTCTCTTTCCTCTTTTCATCCCACTACTCTACCCAAGGTGTGCATGCACGGAAACACATCTGATTGCTTTGGTATGTTCTGTAGAGAGATGATGTTTAACAGTCTAAGAAGAATGTACAGTTATATAGATTATGTTTTTCTCTAGAGGCTGGGACATACTGTTGTCACTAAGATAGTTAAATAAAATGCAAAGTATCAATCTCTAGTGTTGTACATACAGTAATAATTCTATTGTATTCTCTCTCTCTTGTTTCAAGACAGGATTTCTCTGTTTAACTTTGGCTGTCCTAGAACCCACTCTGTAGACAAGGCTGGCCTCAAACTCAGAGATCTGCCTGCCTCTGCCTCCCAAGTTCTGGGATTAAAGTCATGCACCACCATTGCCTGGCATAGGGTAGGTTTTAAGAACTGAAACCAAAGATAGTTCCATCCCCTGAATACTATGATTCTTGTGATACATACCTATATAAGCTTAATTCCTACGTTAAGCACAGTAAGAGATAAGTGACAATTACTGATAAGAACAAAGCAGTTATGGTGGTACAGTAGAGGCTATATAAATGCTGTCTATCAGCATATATATATATATATATATATATATATCTACATATAAATGTAAATATGTAGTACATATATATAGTAGTATATATTAGTATAATACACACACACACACACACACATATACTCCAAGTCTTAGCAGCATTGGCATATGACTCTTTTAAAGGTTTTGTTTTGTATGTGTGGGTGTTGGCCTGCATGTATGTCTCTGCACCATGTACATGCAGTACCAGAGGTCAGAAGAGGACATCGGACCTCCTGGACCTGGAGCTACAGATACCTGTGAGCCTCCATGTGGGTGCTGGGAACTCTGCCTGGGTCCTCTGAAGAGCAGCCAGTGCTCTTAAACACCGAGCCATCTCTCCAGCCCTTAAATCATTTTTTTTAAATTTAAATTAGGACATCTTTTTCTTTTTTTTTTTTCTCCCGGCCAGTTGCTATATTACCTTAGAGTCATTGTTAAGTAAAATATACATTTCTTGAATAAAATCACTGCTATATGTAGATAGTAGCTCAAATAACCACTAAAACAGCTAATTGGCTAATGGATAAATAGCATATTCAGCCTGGATATGCATGACACAGGAGGATTCATGTCCCAGGTGGCACAGAGCTGGAAAGAGCAGAGAAACATGCAATTTTAAGCTTAGTTTTTCTTTGTTGGAGGCTAATGTTTAGGCCAGGCTGACGTGGAACTGTGGCCCTCCTGCCAAAGTCTCCATAGTGCCTGGATTATAGGCATCCCTGCCTATCTGAGAATTATTTCTTAAATTTTCCATTTGATATTTTTGATGAAAGGTGACTGAAACTAAAAATAAAACCATGGATAAGGGAAAACTACTGGATAAGATATCCCCTTTATCATATCAGGTATCTCAGCTGACTCATTTTACAGTTAGGCAACAGAAACTGTTAATAATGTGAGGATTTGAACCAAGATCTCCTCTCTTGTGGTTTGAGGCTAAACCTGAAGTTAGGCTCTCCAGGAGTGGTATAATTGCAGCTGGTCCTCTCTAACTCAGCAAAGGAGTCCTCTGTCTTATCTGAGCTGTGTGCCCAGTGGAAGGAAGTCTTTGTGAGCTTTTTAACTGTCTATAACAAGTGACGCTTGCCAGGTGGTGGTGCCTCATGCCTTTAATTCCAGCACTCAGGAGGCAGACATAGGAGGATTTCTGTGAGTTTGAGGCCAGCCTGGTCTACAGAGTGATTTCAGGACAGCCAGGGCTACACACAGAAAAACCCTGTCTCAAATGCCCCCCCAAAACAACAACAAAACAGAAACTATGACACTGGCAGCTTTCTTGAGTTTAGTCAGAAGTGACAGACGTGCCTCAGTGGTAGGCTGCTTGCCCAGCATGCACAAGACCCTGACTTCAATCCTAAACACCACAAATATAAAATAAAATAAGATAAAATAAAATGTGATATAAATCAGTGACATAAAATAAAAGCTTGGGAGTATATGAACTTTCTGTGAGGGATGCCATGTTAGCTTATGTAACTGGTATTACATATGATAGTAATGTTTCCTTCTGATTGTATAGCTATGTGGCTACTAGGATTTTAATCTAGCGTCTGTGTGCTTAGGAGTAAATGTATTTGCTAGTGTATAAACTATTACAATAATAATAGAGTCTCAGTCAGGCAGCAGCCACCACACTTAGCTTTTTTCTTTTAATGAGATGGGAGTTTGTCTCTATTGCCCAGGCTGGATTAGAACTTCCAAGTGTTGTGTTCAGGTGCATAGCACAGCTTGGTATGGCTTCTGTGCTATGCTTAGATCGGGAGCTTTTCATTCAGCACTTGGTTTATCTGGGGGAAGGCAGACTTTGCCTGCAGCATATGGACATTTTAAACAGTCTCATTCCCAATAACAAGCTAATTCTCTTTATGTTTGCTGATTTGGTATGGCAAGTAACAAGTATGAGCTGTCACATGAAGATCTTTTTGAGCAAAAGACCACTTTCTGTTTTCATAAAATAACATTCTTGAACAAGTAAGCCAAATCTAGAGGTTAAATCCTTTCACTTTTTTATTATCTCTTGATTAAATGGTAAAATAGCTTGTAAAGTAATGTCCATTTGTAAGGTCCGGGTTTGAAATGGGAAGTATGTCCTGTTGGGGCTGTCCTGGAATTTCAATTAGAATGCAACCTTTAAGGGCATTTCATCCTTTGGTTAGGAGTTACAGAGCTGCTGTTCCTTCCCTCAGTACACGCAGGGGCAAGTCTAAACTTGCCCCTGATGGCTTGGGTGTGGCTTCCTGTCTTATGTCCAATGGGAGTAGATTTTTAATATTTGACCTTTTGTAGTAGAGGCAAGCAAGTTAGCTTGATTATATCAATGCAGACTTCAGTCTCTTAATAATCATTTGCCTTTCTGGTAGCAGCAAGGTTTTATTTATTTGTTTTTGCTTCAACTTATTCCCCAAAGAAAAAGCATCATGTGCCCTGAGAGCTAAGGTAGGTGGTAACTTTCGAGGAAAGAAAGGGGGAAAATGAGACAGATCCAAATGAGACAAAGCCAGACATGTGTGATGCATGCGTCTGGCAAGCACCTCGTATGAAAGTGGGGTGCATGCCTCTGGGTGGGCACTGCGTGTGAAAACGCAGAGGTTTGACCACAGCCCGCAGACAGAAGCTTGCTAGCAATTTAAATGGAGTTTTCACTATTCTTAAATCAGCACTGCAGGCAGGGCATGTTTGTAGTGTGTACTATGCTGAAAGCGTTGGCAGTTATCCTTGAGATAGTAGAAGCTTTTGAAGAAAATGTCTATAGTCCTGTTCTTTTGGATTAATGTAAATGATCTTTTATCACTATATAGAAAAGTATTTTAATGGTAACATTAGTGCTCTAATGAAAGGCTTGTTTCTCTTTAGAATGTGTGTATGAGAAAAATCCCACAGGAATCATTTTCAAGTGGTCTACTTCTAAATACTTATAGTAATTTTCACAGCAGAAAAACTTTTAAATAGTTTGTTTATTTTTATTTTATGTGCATTTGTGTTTTGTTTGCATGTCTGTCAGTCTGTATGAGGGTGTCAGATCCCCTGGGACTGAAGTTACAGATAGTTGTGAGCTGACATGTGGGTGCTGGGAATTGAACCCAGGTCCTCTGGAACAAGCAGCCAGTGCTCTTACCCACTGAGCCACCACCTCTTTAACCCCAGAAAAACTTTTCTGTAAAATAATTTGTTACAGTTTAAAAGAGTTGGTAAAATTTTGTGTGTTCAGAATTCCAAGGACTAGACCAGTAATAAAGTGTTGGTTAGTGACTAGCTACTTAATAAATGCCTATTAAATGCATATTGAATTTAAGTAAAGTTTTAGTTTTCATTAAATTCCTAGACATACATTAAAACATCAGTGCCCCAAAATATATAAATTTGCCAAAACATGTTAACCCTCTTGAACCAACTTGTTATAATGCTGTGTCATTATAATTAAAGGAAGCAATTCTTTTAAAATATTGTACAGTGGATGCCACCTTAACTCTGACTTTCATGATCCTACAGGCAACTTCCCTATGATTAGCGATGACTTGGTCAATTCATACCATCTTCTGCTGTGTGCATTAGATCTGGTTTATGGCAATGCCTTACAATGTTCTAATCGTAAAGAACTTGTGAACCCTAATTTTAAAGGTAAGCTTATATATCAGACATTTTTGAGAGCATGCGTTTCTGCGTGAGTTTTACTCATGGGAATTGTATCCCAGATCCAGGTTTGGTAGCATCAGAGAACATGAATGCTGGAGAGCTTCCGCCACAGGTGTCATATGCTTATGCTGAAAAGTCGAGCATCTTCATCTGTTTCTAAAAGTTTTCTTTTATGTGTATGAGTGTTTTGTCTGCATGTATGTTTGTGTACCACATGCATGCGTGGTACTCTCAGAGGTCAGAAGGAGAGTATCAAATCCCCTGGAAATGGGCTGTGAGCCATCTGTGAACCTGGGTCCTCTGGCAGAGCAAGTAGCCAGTACTCTCGATTGCTGAGCCATTCCTCCAGTCCCTTCCCCTTTTAAAAACAAAATCAAATATCACCAACTTCAGTCTTAAATGATAATTTTAGAAGTTTCTGAAAAAATGTATTGAAAAAGAGAAGAACATGGAAACTTGGAGAATCAAAGCTAACTCTATGGACATGGTCGTGTTTTTTGCTGTTGGCAAGTTTGGTGCTTAAAGCACTCCTGGTAGCAAGAAAGAGTTTACTAAAAGAATATCACTTCACTTTTTGGCTACAAGAATATAAAACTCTAAAATAACAAGAACTTTGTTCTCTAGGTGACTGGTATGAGAATCATGCTCATTTTGGCCATGCATGTACCATGCTTTATGTTACATATTGCCAAAAGCCATACACGAAAATACTGAGGATGTATAGACTAATCTATACTGCTGATTCTGCCGGAAGAACACCATGGGTGAATTCCCATTGTCAGGTTGGGCCTGGTGTCAGTTGGAATTTCAACTTGCCTGTGAGGGTTAGTTTTAAGATTAGTGGCTTAGTGGAGTCAGTTACTACACTGACCTGTCACTCAAGGACTGAGGTGTAGGACTGAGGTGGAGTTCTGTAACAGACTGCTTGCCTGGCCCTGAATTTGATTTTCAATATAAAGTTTTAGATTCCATTTAAGCCTTTTTTTTTTTTTCTGCATGTTCACCCAATAAAGATGATGCAATGGTCCAAAATCCAAAAGACTACACTTGAAAACTTCTGCCCAAGCATTTTGGACAAGGAACACTTGATCTTTATCCCATTCTGTATTTTCCTTTTTGTCATCCTTTCATTTTATTCTTTTACCTTTTTTCTAGGTACTGAACACAGGGCACCCTTGTCCTACAATTTATCTGTTACTTCCATTTGGTATTTTAAGGTGTCCTTCTATTTTTACCTCCTTTAATTTTCTTCTAAATGTTTGTGTTCTTATGAAAGAAAGCACTATAAATTAACATAAACATATCTAATATGAACAAGCCAGAGTTACTAATCTGTGTAATTAAAACAACTGTTACATTTGAGTGTGGGTGGCAGGGGAAGGCATGTGCCTGCCACACTGTACGCATACAGGTGAGAGGACAAGTTGAGGGAATGAGGCCCTCCACCGTCAAACTCAGGCTGTCAGGCTTGGAAGCAGGTGCCTTTCCCCGATGTGCCCTCTCTCCTGCCTGAAAAGGGAATTTTTGTTTGTTTGTATGAGACAGGGGCTCTGCAGCTCTGGCAGTTGTGGAACTCACTATGTAGAGCAGGCTGGCCTCAAACTTACAGAGCTCACCTGCCTGAGCTCCTAAGTGCTGGGATTAAAGGTGTGTGCCATCATACCTTGTCAGAACTGTGTGATTTTTTAAGTGTTGTTTTTCTAAATGTAAGACTCATTTGTAGACCACAGTTCTTATGTTTTCAGATATTCTCCCAATAGCTTTTTAAATTTTTTCTAACAATCTTTTTTTTTTTTTTTTTTTTTTTTTTTTTTTCTGTCCCTGAGACAGGGTTTCTCTATATAGCCTTGGCTGTCCTAGACTCACTTTGTAGACCAGGCTGGGATGGAACTCACAGAGATCTGTCTGCCTCTGCCTCCCTGAGTGCTGGGATCACAGGTGTGCGCCACCATGACTAGCTTTCTCTAACAATCTTTAGTCACATAACAAATCTTTTGAGTGGTGATGTATTTTACCCATACCTCCATTTTTAAAATATTTAATTCATAATTTATGTAATCATTTCTCTATGTGAGACAGGATGTCACAGCGCAGGCTGTCCTTCTGATTCACGACAGTCCTGAGCACTGGGTTATAGGTGTAAGAAAGTGTCTTGTTTGTACTGGAGAGGCTACATATTCAGCTCTCTTCATCTTTCGAGGCATATAAGTTAGTTACATATGCCGATCATATCCTGACTAGACTCAGTAGTATTTGTTTCAGTGTATTACATGTTAGCTAATTGATGCTGACCAGGGTTCACTTTGTCATTTTATACATCATAGGCCTGTCAGAGGATTGTCACCCCAAGGATTCTAAACCGTCCTCTGACCCACCTTGTGTCATTGAGAAGCTCTGTTCCTTACATGACGGTCTAGTGTTGGAGGCAAAGGGCATAAAGGAGCATTTCTGGAAGCCCTATATTAGAAAACTCTTTGAAAAAAAGGTTTGTAAGTAATTACATAAGAATTTTTCTAGAAAAAAAAAAAGAATTTTTCTGGATAAACACTTGGTTGCACATAATCTAAGGGCCTCTTTTTTCATCATAGATCCTCAAGGGGAAGGAAGAAAATCTTACTGGCTTCCTGGAACCTGGGAACTTTGGAGAGAGTTTGTGAGTATTTGTGCTGCAGAACTGATCTGATATTTTTGCTTGTTTGGTTGGTTTTGAGTTTTGGTTTTTCGAGATAGGGTTTCTCTGTGTAGCCTAAGCTGTCCTGGAACTTGCTCTGTAGACCAGGCTGGCCTCAACCTCAGGCCTGCCTCTGAACCACCATGCCCAACCTGCTTTGATGTTCTCTTATCTGTGAAGAGAACTCAGTCCTCAGTATTTATACTTTGGACATTTTTAATGCTCTATGGTAGAATTCATAGACGCCATTACAACTCTGGATTACTCAAGATTTTGGATTATAAATTTTGAAATTAAGAAATACTTTTGAACCTAGCTATCAGGGTACATGGCTGACATCCCAGCACTTGGGACCTGAGGTAGTATGATTGTGAGTCTGAAGTTACTTTGTCTCACAAAAAAAAAAAAACAAAAACAAAAACAACAACAACAAAAAAAAAACAGTTAAGGAACTCGAAAGGAAGACTTGTTTTTGGAATTATAGGGGTAACAAACATGGTAGTACCAGGTCTCCAGAGGTGCCAAGAACAGCTGAGGAAGTATTCCTATATGATCATATGCCAGTTATGTATCACCCAGGCTCCCTATTGCTCACACTTCAGTTTAGTGTAAGTTAGCATATTGAATGCATGCTCTTTATTATTTATCATTAGGTTATTGAAAGCAAGTTGATTCAGGATCCCTTCCTTGACACACTATTGAAAAAATTTGCTCAGTGTGTGCTGGACACACAGAGTAAGCTGCATCTTCTCTTCAGTTTTCATAATGAGCAGTTGTTTTATTGAGATAATGACTTTCAAAAATTTACCAGATCTTGTAGTAAAAACTGAAGTAAGTGATGAGCTAAAATGGCGGCCCTGTTTTCCTGTAGTAAGGCTGTTAATAAGGCTTACGAAGAGTATGTGTTAGCCGCTGGGAATCTGGATGAACGGATATTTCTTGGTGAGGACGCTGAGGAAGAAGTTGGGACTCTCTCACGGTGTCTGAATGCTGCCTCAGGTACAGAGAGCTCTGAACGAACACAGATGAAAGACATCTTGCAGCAGCACCTTGACAAGGTGAGTGAAACCCAGTAGAGAACAGGGGAGCCCTGTGTGAGGTACTGATCATGTTTCAAGGTCTTGGGAGAGGTGGGGTTAGGACAAGAGGACATCAGGCTCTGCTCTCCCATCATGACACTGCACGCATGTATGTTTTAAATGCTGTGGTAGGAAGAGAAAATGCAAGCTGCCTTACTGACTTTTCATTTAGCGCTGACTTTCAAAGGTTTTAGTTAGGTCTAAGGAGAGAACTGACTGTTAATCTAAAATAGATGTGTCCTGCTGGTAGGCTTTGCTTTAGAAAGAATGGGCTGTAGTGGATACTCTGCATTTAGAAAATAATACTTAACCCTAATTGGGGCCCTTGGATCTGCAGCCAGTCATTAAGAACAATCTGTTGAACTGAAACCAAGTTTTAGGATGATGGAGACTGTGACTCCAATTTTCCGTCCCTATAACCGAGAAGCTTTAGACTTGACACTGGTCTGTTTGGTCCACCCGTCCCCTTCCTTCTTTTCTTTTCTTTCCTTTTTTATTTTCTACCTTTCTTTTCTTTTCTTCTTTTCCTTCCTTCCTTCCTCCCTTCCCTCCCTCCCTCCCTCTCTCCCTCCCTTCCTCCCTTCCTCCCTTCCTTCCTTTCTCCAGGGATCTCACAATGCATCCCAGGTTAATTTCAAATTCATAGCAATCATGTGTCAGCTGCCTAAGTGCTGAGATCATAGGCATAGGGCTCATCTGATTAGTACTCACATGTTTTTATATGCTGGGTTGTGTCCTCAACTCCCGAAAATACAGCAGTAGACAAAATAGCAACAAACACACTGTCCTAAAAAAAACAAACAAACAAACAAACAAACAAACAAACAAAAACACTTAAGTTTTAGCTTGGGAAGATGGATAGTAGTTAACCAAATCATTAAATATATAATATGTTGAATGACAACAAATAAAATTGGTAATGCAAGCCAGTTCAGTGCATGTCTGTAATCCCAGCACTCTTGAAAAACCAAAACCAAAACAAACAAACAAAAACAGAAATATATCACTGGAGGTTTGTTGCAGAATATTTTGAATCCCAAATTGTGAATTGTAAAAACCTATTCCTGGTTGTGGTATGGCTCAGCCCTAGCACAGGGCTTTAATCCACGAACTTTCTGTCTATTGTAAACAGGTGATTTACGGTATGGCTCAGACCTAGAACACAACTTTAATCCAAGAGCTTTCTGTACATAGGATTTAATAAAGTTAACCCTAGGTCAAGAGGCGGAGCAAGAAACCAGCTGACTGAGAATAAATAGAAAGGAAGGACTTTGTGTTAAAGGGTATTGAAGAAAGCATGGAGAAGAACAAGGAGCTTTTGTCTTTTTCCTCCTGGGCTTTGGGTAAGCTAGCAGGCCTTTTCCTCCTGGGCTATTGAGCTAGCAAGCTTTTTGCCTTGGGCTTTGGGGGCTTATAGATTTGAGCTTTTGGTTTTTGTCTTTTTTCCCTTGGGACATGAGCTAAATAAGAACGTCAGCTGGGTGCTTTCTCTGCCTCTCTGAACTAGCAGGTTTTCACCCCAGCATCTGGCTTCTGAGTCTTTACTGGCAAAATTGAACAGTTAGGATTTTCTTTCTTTATAACAACAGAGCTTCTAGAAGGGAGTAGGATTGTAGTTGTATGTTCTGGGGTCACCAAGGTATAGATGGTTAAAACCATGAAATGAAGAGTTCCGGTAGTGAAAATTATTAGAGAATGAACATCTAAAGCAGTGGCTCTCAACATGTTGGTCGCAACTCCCTTGTCACACCTCTATCTCCAAAAATACTTAATTACAATTCATGACAGTAGTAAAACTACAGTTGTGAAGTAGCAATGAAAAGAAATTTATGGTTGGGGTCACCATAACACGAGGAACTGTATTAAAGGGTTGAACCATTAGGAAGGGTGAGAACTACTGACCTCAAGGCAGAGTTCTGCAGCACACCAAACTCTGTCTCTACAGGGAGAAGGTATATCCTGGTTTTTGTTGTTGTGGTTTTGGTTTTTTGAGACTATGTACCCCAGTATGTACTGGAATACTCTATGTAGACCAGGGTGTCCCCAAACTCACAGAGGTCTGCCTGCCTCTACCTCTGAGTGCTGGGATTAAAAGTGTGTACCACCACACCTGGCCTAGTGTTTTTATGTCAGCTCTGTATTCACACCTGAGTTAAAGGAAAGTACTCTAAGTGAGAATGAATAGGGAACTATAAAACTAAGCCCTTTATCAGTGCTACAACATGGGAAGCCCCATGTTGACCTTAAGGACTTAGAGGAGGAAGGCATGGTTGTCACACCCAGTTTATATGAAGCCAATGCTGCTTGTGGGCGAGGTTGTTTTATGTGTTGCTGGCTGCTATGACTTCTTCATATATACCCAGGACATTTTTGACTTACAGTACAGGCTTCACGAACAAGGGAAGTGGGAGCTGCAAGAAAGCCAAGATAGTAGGAGCTCTCTGAGTGTACTTAATCTGCTCGGGCCATTTATTGCCTTTAAACAGCAATATGAGTTTTCTTGAAACAAAATGAGGGTCTCACATCTGCTGTTGTTTAAGACATATAGAACACATATTTACTTCTATTTTGGGAGTGTCTTGTGTTTTCCTGTGTCTCAAGAACTGAATAGTTTGTTCTGTTACTAAGACTTTGCTAGGCATTTTTAAAAACCTAGGATGAGTACATTCAGCACTCAGGGATAACTGCTGAATTTTGAATATTAAAAAGGCTTCAAACTTTCACAGTTTCTTTGAGAAGTTAGAAAAGCTGATTTTCTAGCATATGTACTCATGCTTAAATTCTTTGTTACAAAGTCACATATTTGTCACCTTTATATTCAATAATGTTGACTCACTTGCTCCTCTGAAGGCCTGTCTACTTGAGAAGAAAAATGGCTGTGGATTTTAGGAACTAAAGTCAGGGAACAGTGATGAGGACTTGTACTGCATCACATTGCCCATCTGTCTGTCTGTCTATCTATCTGTCTGTCTGTCTAAAATGTTTACCTTCCGAAGTAAATTTGATACATTGATTTTTATTTTGGCCAGATGCAAGTCATTGCTTTCATGTGTCCATCTTTGACATGTATCCATCATGTGTTCACAGCAGTGGGTGAAAGCTGCGGAATCGTGCTTCTCGGCATTGGGAGTGATGTTCTTCATGTTTTCAAGCGTGCGTTCCCTTCAGTTGTGGGCTCTGAAGGAGAGAGTAGAGAGAAAGAGCTTGCCTGAGTGTACACTGTGCCACTGTGCTCTGCCCTGTAACGGCACAGGCCTGATCTTTACAGTTTAATGATCAGAGGTCTTATAGTTGCCTCGAGCATGTACGTTCTTTCACACAAAGCTTCATAATGGAAGCTTTGAGTAGAATTATGTTTAAATTCCCAACATGGTGCTGTTTGAGATGCTAAAATATATTGATATAAAGTCCTATTGTCTTGAATTCCTATTTGTGGTGTAATTTGAAGAAACTTACTTTTCTCCTCTAGTCTAAAGCCCTCAGAGTCTGCACACCACTGACTGGCGTAAGCTATGTTCAGGAAAACAGCCCTGGTGTGACCCCTGTCTCCACGGCTGCACATAGCTTGAGTCGTCTTCACACCATGCTGACAGGCCTCAGGAATGCGCCCAGTGAGAAGCTGGAGCAGATCCTCAGGTGGGTTGTAGGTTCATCTGCTTCCAGTAGTGAGTTGTTGACCACTTTTCAATTTCTTATCTTACTTTTTCAGTGCCAGTGTTTTCAGTTGCCCTGGGACAGTTTTACAGGAATTGCAGCTAGTCTGATTAGTCAGTAAATGATATAGCAATATAAAATATATAAGTAGGCATGCATGCTGGTACTTGCTTGTAACCCATGACTCAGGAGGCTGAGACAGGAAGATCACACAGGTAAGGCTACCCTGGGCTACAGAGTGAGACACTGCTCAGAAAGTGCTAGCTAGGTATTGTGAGCATAACTGTTGTCTGTTAGGCATGGATAGCACACCCAGGCTCTTACCTTCAAGTAGACCTACCAGATAAGTTCACTTGCCTCTTGGCAAACACTAATAGCTGCTCTGGAGCACAGATTTATTTTGAAGTCTTCAGCCATCTCTCATACTTGGGAAGAGAGGCGTTTATGGGTCAGAGGTTCAGTGAACTTTGGGTAGCTCACCAGGAACCACAGCACCCGGTACACTCTCTTTACTCTTCCGGTAGAGGCCACACCTTGTGAGTGGTTTTTGTAGCCGGTTGCTGCCTGTGATGGCCCACTGGTGGGCCTGTGCATAGTCTGCTTGCGATGCGGTATAAAGACTTCTCTTTTACTCCCTGTGCTGGAGCTCGGCCAAGCTAGAGGGGCACTGCTGTAAGATTGTGATGGTGAGGCAGAGGCTATAAATACCTCACGCTATCTTATTCACAGCTGTTTTAAAAGTTTAAGGAAGTGCAGTGTCAGTGATGGTGGGCAGAGATTCTGGAGGGTAGCTCAGATTCAAAAAGACTGAGAGCATTCAGTGTGTCAGTCACCTAATTTCTGCAAGCTCTGTAAACACTCCTAAAGGAAAGGACTGGCTCTTCTGACCAATGACGTTTCAAGAATGAAATCCTTGTTTGTTTGTTTGTTTGTTTGTTTTTTAAACAGGGGTTTCTGTACCTCAGGCTAGCCCCCATCTACAGGTTATAGTGGAGGATGACCTTGAACTTCTGAGTCCCCTGCTTTCACCTCCCACGTGCTGGCATTACCAGCCTGCACCAGCAGTTTCATGTGGTGACGGTGGAACTCATGGCTTCATGTATGTCCATCAGCTGAGAGACTTCCCCAGCTCAGAATGTACTTCTGTGCGTAACTTTGGCAAGTTGATTTGAGAAAGCTGATTCCAAAGTTTCTAAGACTTTATGGTTTGATGGTATAGCTCCTCTACAATACCCGCATTCCTGGTGGTACAGAACAAAGAAGACATTATCTCTAAACCTCAGTGATTTCCACCCATAGCTGGGTTCACTGGAGTCCAAGGACAAACACTTTTCCTTTATATTTTCATAGTCCTCTTCATTCTTAAACTTGATTATGACTGACAACAAGCAGTCCATGCCTGTGGCTTCTTCCTAAGTCATAATTTTCAGGTGGCCTTTATTTGCCTTGAATTTAGAAGCATTTTATTTTTGTTTTTCCAATTAACTTGGTAGTGAGCAATTTATAAAACATTCTGGGAATGTGGGTGTGCACATAGTCCTGGAACCCATGCATAATCTGAGAGCATTGTCTGCTTCCTCATGTGAAAAAAGTAAGAAACTGGTCTCTGAAACCTAATACTTAGGTATGAGTTTGTGAACATACAATAGTTAATTCCATGAGTCAGTTTGGCTATGTTACAGCACCTTGTTCTGCTAAACACAAATCTGGATGTTGCTTCAAAGGAGTAGTTATTGACTTTTTGACACAAGGTCTTGGTCAGGCATATAGCCATGATCTAGCACTTATTGCTGAGGCAGGAAGATCACAAGTTCAAGGCTAGCCTGAGTTACAGAGTGAGGTCATATTATAGGCATACAAAAACAGAAATGGAGTCTGTGTTGCTGAGGCTGGGCTTGAACTCACCATGTAGCCCAGGTTGGCCTTGAACTCATTATCCTCCTGCCTCAGCCTCTGGATTAGCTGAGAGAAACATTTTCTGTATATGTGAGAAAAGCCTATATAGTAGCCGTATCTTTTAGATCTTTTATAATCTCTAGTCATGACAGCTTTAACCATGGATATTATTAGTGGAATTTCATAATATCAGTAGATGCTAGTAAAACCAACCTTTTTGTTATAAACTTTAAGCTATATGTATATGTTCATAAATAAAACTCTAGTAGTATATTACAGAGTTATCTCTGGTTGTAACTCACAAACGTGAAACTTACTTTCTTCATAATTTTATAAACTCTATCAGGTTTTGCAATGTATATATATTTGATCATATGTGTTTAATTATATACATGTATAAGATCATGTTAAAGCACAGTTGTTTAAATATATAAGTATTATAATTTGGTGATACGTATATGTCGATTTTCAGCCAACCTGTGCAGATCTTGTCTGCTGGCCCTGGGATGTGAGGACCTAAAAGAACGGGGCAGTCTGCAGTCAATTGCTATAGACAGCCTTACCTCAGATCAGCATGCCCTTCTGCACAAATGTAACAAAGGAAGAAATGACCCAAACAAGGTTATTTGAGTTCAGAAAAACATGTGAATAAATGCCAGTAAGCGCATGCTAAATATTAACAGAGCAGGCCTTTCCCAGAACTGTCTCAGAACAGACCAATTAAAACACAGTTGCCTAGCATGCACTGTAGATTATATCTGGGAAGGCAAGAAAGCAAGGCAGAAGGCTATATCCAGATTTAGAGTACACTGCCCAGAATGTGTTCTATAGCTATGTTCCAACATCCAACAAGGATAAACATGTCTTATAAACTGATTGTAAATGTGTAACACAGGAGACAAGATATCATATCCAAAAGCAATACAGGAAACAAAATGTACCTGAGATAAAAGGCCTCTGCCTTTTTTCCTGGAGCCTCTCTCAGTTCAAGGCATCGCTCACCATAGGTCATTCTTTTAACCATGTTCTGACATATATGTGTGTGTGATCAAGTTTTTAAAAGTTATTTTAAAAAGGCTCCAAAGGTAATGATTTGTATGATGCTCCTGCATTGAACATATATTGCTAAAAAAAAAAAAAAAAATATCCCAGCTCTCTGGGAGGCAGAGGCAGGCAGATCTCTGTGAGTTACAAGGCTAGCCTGGTCTACAAAGTTAGTCCAGGACAGCCAGGCCTGCACAGAGAAACCCTGTTTCAAAAAAAAAAAAAAAAAAGAATCAGTGAAAAAGAGGGTGAGAGAGATGGTTCAACTATAATTGCTTTTTTTCTATGAGAACCTGATTTTATCCCTCGCTCCCATGTAAAAAGCAGAGCGTTGTGGTGTAGGCTTGTATCCTCAGTGCTAGGGCTGCTGGCCGGCCAGCCTGGCTTAATCAGTGATTGCCAGGTTCCCAGTGAGCACCCCCATTTTCATGACTTGTGCATCTGCTGAGGAATAACCTCTGAGGTTGATCTCTGTTTTACACACACACAAGCACACAATTGCACAGGTCCATAAATACACACACATACAAACACTCCACACATAAAAAAAATCTTTAAAAATCAATGAAATAAACCTCACTTGGGGGAACTAAAAAAGTGCCAACGTTAGTTTTATGTGTTTATAGTTATAGGTCTGAACCCCTTCATTCTCTTTCTTCCTAGAAGTTTTGCTGCCCACTAGACAGCAACTTGAGGGTTCTTTGGTTGCTGTCAATGACAGGATGTATGAGGTTGTGGGTGAGTCACAGCACCAAGTGAGCCACAGACCAAGCCTCTGAGCTTCGTGCCGTAATGTGTGCAGCCCCACACAAAACACACTTCTGCCACTGGAAATAGTAATACTTCCATCTTTGAAAAGAAAGTATGGATGTCCTTTATTCATTTGCGAAATATATAGTATCTGTTCAAAGCATTTTATGTTAATGAAATTTATAGGTTTAGACATTGTATCTCTTTGTGACCAGATGAATTTTCATGTTACTTTTTAGGTCATGTTCCCGAGATCCAACTCAGGCTATTGCTAGCAGATTGAAAGAAATGTATGAAATATATTCTCAGCATTTCCATCCAGATGAGAATCTTAGTAATTGTGCTAAAGGTAAAATGTACAATTGTCCAGACTGTTCCCTACTTTAACATCTGACTAAATAGAGTCAGAAAGACAAGGAAAGACTTAGAACTATAAACTGAAGGATGTTGTGTAGCTGTTCATTTTTTTCTGTCTGTGAAGTAATTTCTCTTTTCAGAAACAGAAAGTTTAGTCTAACTTCTATATTATGTGGGATTTTTTATGGTTTTCGGAGACAGAGTTTCTCTGTGTAGTCCTGGCTGTCCTGGAACTCATGCTATAGACACCCCCAACCCCTGCAAAAAAAAAAAAAAAAAAAAAAAAAAAAAAGAACATCTCTTGGGTCCACCTCTTAAAGGTCCCACTACCTCCTAACAGTAGGTACTATGTGCCTACTATGGTCACCAAAGCTTAAATACATAGGTTTTTGAAGAACTTCCAACATCAAGCCATAGCATAGAACTGTTGTGTTCAAAATGATAAGGTGTGTGCATTTAATGAAGAGATCCTAAGTTCTTTATGTGCTGATTTCATTTCAGTTTTAGAAAATAGGAAGAATGTTAGCTATTGCAGGACTAGTGATGGGAGTTAAAGGCCAGCCTGGGCTACAGAGTGAGCCCCTAACTCAAGGAAAAATGGAATATTGAGAAATTTTAGGGGTAGTTAAAATATCAACTATAGAAAGTATGGGTTTGGGCCAGAGAAATGGCTTAGCAGGTAAGAGTAATGGCTCTTTTTCTAGAAGACCCAGGTTCAAGCCCTGATACCCACACACACTCACAACTATATGTGACTCTGGCTGCAGAGAACCTGATGCCCTTTTCTAGCCTCTTGGGTATCCATACATACATGGTACATGGACATACATGCAAGAAAAACACCCATATATATTAAAGAAATAAAATTAATTTTAAAATATGGATTTGGTTTTTAGATTTTATTTTGTGGATAGAGAAGCAAGAGGTCTTTTCCATGATACTTACCTGTATTTAATTTTGTGTTTTTTTTTAAATTTTGACAGAAACTGCCAACAAACATTTTCGCTTTGCAGAAATGCTTTACTATAAAGTATTAGAATCTGTTATTGAGCAAGAACAGAAAAGATTGGGAGACATGGATTTATCTGTAAGTACAATAACAATGTATTGATCAGCACAGTAAGACAGCTTCACTCCTCCCCATCCACCAACCAAAAGCCATCACAAAGAAAAGGTGTATGCCTTGAGGGAATACGATTAGTGCCTAAGGAATCTGTATGTGGAGCCCTCTCCTTATCCTAACAGCATGAGGGGTATGGAATGGAATAAAGGAGTGGTTCTCGGTGTAGCAGGCCATACATTATAACGTGGATTTTAGAATAGGTGGAGTCTCTGTAGGTGTATTAACTTATTTATTGTTGTGATAAAATACAATGATCAAAGCAACTTATAGAAGAGAGTGTATTTGGGCTTAAAGTTCTAGAGGGCTAGACTTTACCATGGCTGAGTGAAGGCACAGTGACAGGAACAGGAAGCTGAAGGCTCACATCTTCAACAGGCACAAGGCAGAGAGCAAACTGAACGGTGTGAGGCTTTGAAACTGTAAGGCCCACTCCAGTGACATACATGGTTCATTAACACCATACTTCCTAAATCTTCCCCAAACAGTAGCACAAAATAGTGACCAAGCATTCACCAGATTTTTCTGAGTGACATTCTCATTCATACCACCACAGCAGTCAATTATATAAACACTCATCTTTAACTTCAGCCAAGTTAATGACATGTACAAACCTAATAGAAGGAAAACAATGAATGTTGACTTGATAGAATGTCCACATAAGTAAGTACTCAACTATCTTTTTTAGATAAGATAATGATTTTTCTTATATTTTCTAAGCAAGAAATATAATTAGCTAGGTATCATGGCCTACCCATTTAATTCTACCTGCTTTAGAGGCTGAAGCAGGAGAATCACAATTTCTGGGCCTGCCTGGGCTTTGAAACAAGTTTGAGGCCATCTTGTGAAACTTTCTAGGACCCTATCTAAAATTAAAATAAGACAAAAAGCCAAAGAAAGGATTGGGTGAATTAATTTCATTATGACTATTCAGCATTGTAAGGTTTTGGGAACTATCACACTCATAAAAATACACACAAAAATATTATTTTGTAAAATAATGTTAAATAAACTGATGAAATGCCTTGTAAACATTAATGTCTTAGAATTATGCATAATTTTATGTGGCAATTAAAAATAGTCTTAAAAAGATGAAGCTAGGGAAAACTGGAAATGTTTAATTTGTGATATTAGGCTAGGGACATGAACCATAAGACTCAGAAATGTGTGAAAGTACCTCATGGTATCTATATTCATTTTACATTAATTGAAATAAGAATTATTTACAATTAAGAGTGCTAATTTGGGGGCTGGAGAGATGGCTCAGAGGTTAAGAGCACTGGCTGCTCTTCCAGAGATCTTGAGTTCAATTCCCAGCAACTGCATGGTGGCTACAACCATCTAAGAGATCTGGTGCCCTCTTCTGGTATACAGGTGTGCAGAACATTGCATACATAATAAATAAATAAATCTTAAAAAAAAAAAGAGTGCTAATTGTGGAACTGAGGAGATAACTCAGCAGTTAAAAGCACTGACTGCTCTTGCACAGGCACTGGGTTCACTTCCAAGCACCCATATGGTAGCTCACAATGCTCTACAACTCCAGTTTTAGATATTTGATGTCCTTGTCTGGCCTCCATAGGCACCAGGGTACCAGAGAGCATGCACTCTTAACTGCTGAGCTCTAGACGCTGGCTCATAAAATTTAAAAAAAAGAAAAAGAAAGAAAAGAAAAGAGTACTACTTTTTAAAATGATACTTTAAAAGATGTAAAACTGGCCTGTACTTTGAATTCCTTGTAACTGTTTATATTTACCTTTTTTCCTTTTATTCAAATCTGAGATAAAGTCTGATGATGTAGTACATGTGGGCCTTGAACTTAGTGTAGCCCACAATGGCCTTGAACTTGTAATCTTCCTGCCTCAGTCTCCCAAATGCTGTGATTACAGGAACACACTACTGTGCCTGACTTATATTTCTTTTTTTGGTTCTTTTTAAAAAAAATTTTTTTTAGATTTAATTTTTGTGTGTGAGTGTTGTGCCTGCATGTTTATATATGTGCACCCCGGGTCAGAAAAGGGTGTTAGATACTATGAAAGTGGATTTATAGGTGTTTGTGAGCGACCATTGGGTTCTGAGCTCTGAACTCAGGTCCTCTGCAACAGTGACAAGTGCTCTTAGCACTGAGCCAGCTCTAGACCCTGGCCTTCATTTAAAAAAAAAAGTACTTATATATATTTGTGTGTGTGTCCACAAAAGGACTGCTTTATGACTTACCTTTGTGTGTGAAACACATACAGAATAACATAGAAATCATAGCTACAATTTAGGGACCAATATTAAGTAGGTACCTGTATATTCATCTAAATTATATATTTAAAAAAATTTTTTTGTTTGTTTTTCAAGACAGTTTCTCTGTGAAGCCATGGCTGACCTCAAACTCACAGAGATCCACTTGCATCTGCCTCCCCAGTGCTGGAATTAAAAGAGTTCACCACCACCGCCCAGCTTAAAATATTTTTATTATGGTGAAATATACTAAAGCATTTTAATCATCTTGCAAGTTACATTTCAAAGTACATTAACAGTGGTTTATAGCCATTATCCCCTCCATCTTACACCCATTATAGACTAACTTTCCATCCAGACTTCTCTCTAGCCCTCTGTGTATTGTTTCCCAGCTTTGTGAGTCTACCTATCCTAGGTTCCTTAGCTGGAATCATATTATGTTTGTCCTTCATGTCTGGCTTGGCTTGCCTTTCAGTCTTTATCCATGTTTTAGCAAGTTTTACAACGTCTCTCCTTGTATTTCAACTTTCTGTCTGTGGCTCCTTCGTTGGTAGACATCTGATTATTTGTGCCCTTGGCTGTGTGGACAATGCTGCTGTGAAGGCTGGCATGCAGGGCATGTGTTTGGGTCCTTGCTTTTGGTCCTTCAGGTTCTTCCTTCCTACAATTAGAGCTACTCTATCATACAGAGGTTCTGGAGATTGGAGCCAGAACCTCTCAGAGGCCAGTGTTCCAGCATAGAGCGACAGCCCTAGCCCCAGACGGGAGTTAATGTTTAACTCTCTGAGGAGCCATCATACTGCTCTGTAGCAGCATTTTATACTTTACATTCCCACCAGCAGAACATGGAGTTGCAGTTTTCTCATATCCTCAAAACGCTTGTTCATCATCTTAAAATACCTTTAAGGTGGGCCCCATTGCACATGCCTGTAATACTAGCACTTGGAGAGGCAGAGGCAGGTGGATCTCTTAGTTTGGGGCCAGCCTGGTCTAAAAGTGAGCCCAGGACAGCCAAGGCCACACAGAGAAACCCTGTCTCAAAACAAGCAAGCAAACAAACAAAAAATGTTTTAAAAAGTATTTCATAGCATAAGTTTTTGTAAATTCTTATATATTCCTCTAACGTGTGTTTAATAAAGGTGGATGCATTTAAACTAACTGAATATGGAATGTGTTTTCAGAGTAGACTACCATTTCTAAATGTTCCTTTGTTTTGCAGGGTGTTCTGGAACAAGATGCGTTCCATAGGTCACTCCTTACCTGCTGTCTTGAGGTTGTCACTTTTTCCTATGAGCCTCCTGGGAATTTCCCATTGATTGCTGAAGTATTTGATGTACCTTATTATCATTTTTATAAGGTATTTAAAAATTATACCAGTGATTACAAATGAGACCAATCTCTTGTTACCCACCTTGTTCACATTAAACTTATAAATCTATTACATTTTTAATAATCTCTATGTAGGAAACAAAGGAGAAATAGTCTCCTATGTAAAGACCTATGTAAATTCCTGCAGTATACGGTAGTATAACAGATTTCTTTTGGCTGTAACATTCAGCTGATTTCTTCCACCATCTACCAAAGGACTTGCAGAATACTGTGACTAAAGAGCTCAATGGGGTGGGGGCCAGATGTGGTGGATTACACCTATAACTCAGCACTTGGAAAGCTTAGGCAGGAGGATTACAAACTTGACCTGGGCTACATAGTGAGGGCTGTCTCAGAAAGGTAGGAAAGAGGAGAGGCGGGGGTTGGGGAGAGACAGTTTAGCAGTTAAGAGCACTTGCTGCTTTCATAGAGGACCTGAGTTCAGTTCCCAAAGCCCACATCAACTTCAGGTCCAGGGAACCTGAAATCCTCTTCTGGCCTCCTTCCCATCTGTACACAGGGCATAAAGACAAGCACACATGAATTAAAAAAATCTTTATTAAAAAGCAGCATTCGTGTAATTTGGTATGGCGTGTATATCTTTATTTATGGAAATTTAATATTGCAACTATCTTTTAGGAAACAGTAAGTTTTCTATCATCCTACTTATTTGAGACAGGGTATCATCTACATCTACCCCAGGCTGGCATCAAACTCAAGGATAACTTGAAACTTCTGATTCTCTTGCCTCTGCCTCCTGAGAGCTAGGATTACAGGCATGAGCTCTACACTCTGCTCATGTTCAGAGATTTTTATTTTTATTTTTTTTAGATTTTTATTTATTATGTATACAGTGTTCTGTCTGCATATATAGCTGTAGGCCATAAGAGGGTACCAGATCTCACTATAGATGGTTGTGAGCCACCACCTGGTTGCTGGGAATAAAACTCAGGACCTCAGGAAGAGCAGACAGTGCTCTTTACCTCTGAGTCATCTCTCCAGCCCTGTTCAGAGATTTTTAATATTTTTTTTTGTTTTATTGATACTGGAAAGTGAGCCTTCAGCATACAAACAAGGACTCTGTCTCTGAACTATATATCAATTCCTTTGTAAAAATTTAAGAGTACTATTTTCAGGCTCATTGTATAAGCTGTATTTTATACAAAATATTTTATATTATATTATTTATTTGTGTAGATTATTTACAAAAACTATAAAAAGATGAAAAGCTTGCTATATGTGGTTTTATTAAATTTATAGTTTCTGTGAAATTGTGTGACTTAAAAATATTTAGATGTTTCATTTTGCTTTTATACTTTTGCCTGCAAAATCATAGTAATTATTGCTCAATGAACTGGGGCATTTTCTTTATTTCAGGTAATAGAAGTATTTATTAGAGCCGAAGATGGTCTTTGCAGAGAAGTGGTCAAACACCTCAATCAAATTGAAGAGCAAATTTTAGACCATTTGGCATGGAAATCAGATTCCCCACTGTGGGACAGAATTAGAGAAAATGAAAATAGAGTCCCTGCATGTGAAGAGGTTTGTGACATATCTTAACACCTTCTATAAGGAAATCCATGTCGTTTATAGTCCCATGCTACAGAGAGTGGGTGGAGCTGGGTATGTCCTTTAGGGTCAGGGCTTTGCAATGTAATTAATGGTTCATTCCTCTATCAAAGAGGAAACAATCAGGTTCCTTGTGGAACTTTTCACTGCCTCAAGGTTCCCATGACAGTAAAAATTGAGGCTGCTTTTCTGACCCTCCAAATCAGTAAAGACACTGATTCAGACATAGTATCCAGTATCAGGTTTTAATCTTTTTTTTTTTTTTTTTTTTTTGAGACAGGGTTTCTCTGTGTAGTGCTGGCTGTCCTGGACTCGCTTTGTAGATGAGGCTAGCCTCAAACTCACAGACATTTGCCTGCCTCTGCCTCCCTGAGTGCTGGGATTTGAATCTTTTTTAAGACTAAGAATTTTAGTTTTATTAATTTTATTAAGAAATAGCTAATCAGACAAAGATTGGTTCCTTTTGTCTTAGACTATTCCTTTTTTTTTTTTTTTTTTTTTTCTAGACAGGGTTTCTGTTTAATCCTGGCTGTCCTAGAACTGTAGACCAGGCTGGCCTTAAACTCAAACTCAGAGACCCACCTTTGTCTGCCTCTCAAGTGCTGGAAAAAAAAGGGACCACCACCACCCAGGTAGGGCTGTATTTTTAGTGAGATGCTTTTGACTGTTAGGATTTCATGCAAACAATTTCTTCCAGGTGATGCCACCTCAAAGCCTAGAGAGAACAGATGAAACTTGTATTGCCGGCTCTCCCTTACCTCCACGAAGGGTGAGTGAAGTGCGCGCTGACGCTGGAGGACTCGGGAGAAGTAAGTTCAAAACCCTGAAAGGACTGTTTCAAAGTCCTGATTCTAGATACTTAAATTCCATCCGAACCTCTAAGTAAAATTACAGAGCAGAGAGTATTCTATGTCTTTTAGTGACATATTCGTCACTTAAAATGATTTTTTTTTCTGGGCAGGGGGTTGGGACAGGGTCTTGTGTAGTCTAGGCTGGCCTTGACATTGCTATATAACCACTGATGACCCTGGACTCCTGACTGTCCACTTTCCAAATGCTAGATTCCAGGTGTGTACCACCACACCTGACTTAAATATGCTTTTGGGGAATATTAAGAACACCAAAAAAGTTTTTTGAGAGAAGGTTTAGCTATGTAACCCAGGCTGACCTTAATTTTAATCCTTTTGCCTCCCCCCTCCACACACACAAACACAAAAGGATTACAGGAGTGCCAAGCTTGCAGGTATATTTTCAGAACACTGCATTTAACTTGATCATCATTTGTAAGTGAGCATTCATCTGTAAACATACAAAAAGGCAGAAATGGGAAAAGCAAACTACTGAATACTTATATTGGGGCTATAGAAGTCCCAGCGAATTCTCTCATTCTGTCGAGTATGCCTTCCTTTTTTACAGTTTTGTTTTGTTCTTTTCGGTCCTCCCGAATCAACCTCTGGCATAGCTGGGAATACAGGTGTGTACCACCACAGCTGGCTTTCTTAAGGACAGATCCAGGCAGATACAGATAAGCCAATGAGATAGGATGGCTCTGTGGTCAGCTTCATCACTGTAGCTGTGCTATGCTACTTAGGTTAATGTGACATCGATGCTGGCCCAGGAAGAAAATACGGCTTACGCTGACTGCCCAGGTCCAAGGGTTACATTTATGTATGGGGGTCTGTTTCTTTGTTTGTTTTCCCCCTGGTGCTGCAGACTAAAACTAGGGCCTCCCAAATGCAAAGTGCACATCCTACTATCGAGTACACCTCCACTACACCACAACTGTTCTGAAAGAATAATTACATAGTCTAGAGAGCTCTGAACCCACTAGAACATTGCTATGACTAGGTCAGTTTTATATTGTACATTAGCTATGGAAGGATCAGTAAAGTTTATCTACGTCAGTGCCTGCTCAGTAAACAGAATATGGGAGTACTATGACTTCTGTGCATTTTGATTTTTAAATGAATTGTGGAGTATTTGAAACACACTGTATTTTCTTTTGAACAAGAGCTTAGATGGAAGTCAGATCTGTCTCTGTGTTAAATAGTCTGATTTCTTTTGATCGTAGGTATAACATCTCCAACCACATTATATGACAGGTACAGTTCCCCAACAGTCAGTACTACTAGAAGGCGGCTATTTGAGAATGATAGTCCCTCTGAAGGAGGCACATCTGGGCGCATCCCCCCACAACCCCTAGTCAATGCTGTCCCTGTGCAGAATGTATCTGGGGAGGCTGTTTCTGTCACACCAGTTCCCGGACAGACCTTGGTCACCATGGCAACAGCCACTGTCACAGCCAACAATGGACAAACAGTGACCATTCCAGTACAAGGTAAGGAAGGCAGAGTTAGGTATTTGTTCTTTGGAATTTGTTGGAAAGTCACCTATGATTTGGAAAGAGTGTCAATAAAAGATAGCAATGATGGAAGGAAGATGGGAGGAAAGAAATGAAACCCTCATGTCAACAGTTCTTGTCTTTCTTTGTAATAAACTGTAGGTATTGCCAATGAGAATGGAGGGATTACATTCTTCCCAGTCCAAGTCAATGTTGGGGGCCAGGCGCAAGCTGTGACCGGCTCTATCCAGCCCCTCAGTGCTCAAGCCCTCACTGGAAGTCTGAGTTCCCAACAGGTGACAGGAACAACTTTGCAAGTCCCTGGCCAGGTAGCCATTCAGCAGATTTCCCCAGGTGGTCAACCGCAGAAACAAGGCCAGCCTTTAAGCAGCAGCAGTATTAGGCCACGGAAGACTAGCTCTTTATTGCTTTTCTTTAGAAAGGTAATTATTCATGTACCCTTACTGGAGCACAAGCTTGGGAAGTTTAAATATCAAACAAGGTTTGAAGTACCCTTATTTCTTTGTTAGGTTTACCACTTAGCAGGTGTCCGCCTTCGGGACCTTTGTGCAAAACTAGATATTTCAGACGAACTGAGGAAAAAAATTTGGACCTGCTTTGAATTCTCTCTAATCCAGTGTCCTGAACTTATGATGGACAGACATCTGGACCAGTTGTTAATGTGTGCCATTTATGTGATGGCAAAGGTGAGTACCAGTCAAGCCTGGAAACATAAAGATGCTACTTTATTGCTCATCACAGAACAGTGTTTAATAGCTACTCACTAAGCCTTACATCTCCAAATATGTGTAATCAGCAGAGCTTTAAATATTCCATTTTAGGGGCCAGAGGGATGGCTCAGTGGTTCAGAGAACAGGCTGCTCTTCCAGAGGTCCTGAGTTCAATTCCCAACATCCACATGATGGCTCACAAGTCTGTAATTTGAGTCCCATGGAATTCAACATCCTTTTCTGGTGTACAAGATATACATGCAGACAAAACACACACACAGAATATTCCATTTTAGAGACATTGGGTGGCATTTTTTTATTGTTCTCTTAATGGACATGTGGGTTATTTCTGACAATTGTGAACACTTTTGTGAGCATTGTGGATGAGATTTTATGTATACACAGGCTTCCATTTTCTTCAGAGTAAATGCCTAGAAATGGATATGTGGACCATATGGGAACTTTATGTTTAAACATGGAAGAACTGCCAGGCTACTTTTCTAAGTATGGTTCCATTTTATTTTTGTACATGCAACATATAAAGGTCTTAATTCCTCTAATTTCTCATCAATACTTAAAAGTATAAATATATGCATTATATGTTTGGAGTGGGGAGGGAGGTTTTTTCCCCTGGAATTCATTGCCACATTTGAGATCCAGTGTCATGAAGCTTTACCACACCCTTATGCATTTTATACCTTCTGACTTATCCTGAGTCATCTTTACTTTGTGGTATGAGGTTCAAGTCCAGCTTCACTCTTTTTGTGTTGCTTTCCGGTTGCCATACCGTTTTTGAAGACGTATCTCCACACTGAATCTTTGTGGGATCAGTTATTATGGATACATGGCTTATCCCGAGACTGTCTACTTTATGATGTTGATTTATGTCCATCAGACGTAGTACTTTACACTCTCAGTGACTCTTGCTTTTTTGTCTTTCACTATTGGAATATAGCCCTTAAATTATATATATAGCCCTTATTATAGCCCTTAAATTAAATATATACCCTTAACTCACCTGTAACCTCAGGTAGACTGCTTTCACAGTAAAGAAGTTCCCTTTATCTTCCTAGCTTATTGAGTGTTGGTTGTTATTGAAGGCCTTTTACTGTATTCATTGTAGGTTTTGATATTCTAATGATATAGTATATTACATTGGGTTTCATGTTAGATCATTTGCATTCCATTTGCAAATATCTTAAGTATGGTGATAATTTTCTATTTCATTTTTGGTTTACTAGTTTGTTGAAGAATTCTGTGCTTATTCACAAACTGTTGTCTGGAATTTTATTGCATAGCTTTTTTTGATTTTTGTTCCTGGGGTAAATCTGGCCTTTTAGAAAAATAAATGTTTCATTATTCTCTGAAGTTTGATATTAGCAGAGACGCCACCAAAGCTTGATCTTTCTTTGTGCATAATTTACTGATGAATTCAGTTTCATTCTTCTCATAGGTCTGGTTGGGTCACCTGTCAATTATAGAGTCAGTTTTGGCAGTGTGTATCTTTCTAAGACATTGTCTACTCTGAGTTAAAGACATGTAATCCTTTTTGTCCTTTAAGGTCTGTAGTAAGGTTCTCTTTCATTTCTGACTGTAGTAATTTGAGTTATTTGTCTTGGTCAATCTAAATAAAACTTGGTAAATTTTGATAATTTCTAAGACTATTTAATTTCATTTATTTTCTCTATTAAGATATGCCCTAATTATTATTTTCTTCTTTCAGTTTACTTTGGCCTTTTTTTTAAAAAGTCCATTTATTTGTCATGTGTGAGTGTCAAAGAACAATTTACAGGAGTTGTCGCTCTCTTCCTTTAGGTCACTATGCTTGCATCTAACATCTTTACCCACTGGGCCATCCCACAGGAGCTTGGATTTTTTGCTTTTTTTCCTAGTGCAGGGGATGGTTAGGTAACTGATTACAGAATATTTTCTCACTGTCTTGAGAAAATGTCTCACTATCCTTTGTAAATTTGGCAGTAACTGTAAAGGCAGGCATTAGCTTCACCTCATAACTTGGCATCATGTATGTTTCTCTTAAATTAATTTAGTTTTCATATGACTTCTATTTAACTTGTACATTCTGCAGGACCATGCAACTTCCAGTTTTTTGCGTTTTCCAAACTTTTCTCTGTTGCTGATTTCTAGTTTCATTTCACTATATCTGAAAAAACTTTATATATTTCAGTCCTTTGAAGTGTTTTTGTTTGCTTGATGACAGGGTCTCACATAGCCCAGACTGGCCTTGGGCTTCCTCTGTTCCTATGTGTTAGAGTTGCAGGTATACACAGCCATGGCAGCTTTACCCAGCACTGGGGATTGAACCCAAGGCCTGGTGCATGACAGGCAAGCACCAACTGAGCAATGTCTCTAGCCTTCCACATTTAATAAAAGTAAATGTTCTATTGCCATTGTGAGAATAGAAGTTTTTTTCTAGATGTTAGGTTGGGTTGTAATAGTTTTCTCTTTTGTCTTAGATCGTCTGCCTAGATCTTCTACTATTGAAAGTTCTATATTGCAATCTCTAAATATTTTTATATTGTCTGTTTTACCCTTTTCTCTCATGAGGTTCATTATTCAGTGCTCTATTAATAGGTATACTTACATTTATTACTTATACTTGTTTTATTTTTTGAGACAGGGTTCCCTGTATAGCTTAGGCTGTCCTGGAACTCAGAGATCCATGTGCCTCTGCTTCCCAAGTGCTGGGATTAAAGGTGTGTGCCACCACAACCCAGCTACTTACAGCTTCTTTTTCTGTTTTTCTTCTGTGTGGCACAGCGTTTATTGGGGGGAGGGGGCATCAGCCCTTCTTGGCTGCTGCCTTCCTCGTAGCTGCCAGCACGTTGCTTAGCTCCTCCTGCTTCCTCTTGGCACGGATGTGTTCCCACCCTCGTCTTGATGAGCTTGAGCGCGTGCTTGTCCTTCGCCACCTTGAGCAGCTCCACGGGGCATTGCTCAAGGATGTGAAGACACACACCTCCCTGTTCATGCCTCACAGACTTGATGTGCTTGGTGGGAGCACCGGCTGGGCCTGGACTTGCGGACGTCCTTCGTCACCTGTGGCCCTTGTTGAGGCCCAAGGCCATGGCTGCTGCTCTCTGGTGGCTACTTATAGCTTCTTGATAGGTTGATCCTTTAACTGTGAAGTGAACTAATTCTTCAGTACTATTTGTGTTTGTTTCTAAATCCTATTTTTCAGTTTAATACTTTATAGCTACTTAGCTTTCTCTTGACCACTGTCTAATGAACTTATCTGTTGTTTACTCTCAAGTACAATTGCATTTTTAAGTGTCCCCTAAAACAATGTAATTTTCCCCGGTCTTACAACTGTCTAACCTTTTGTGTTTGATCCATTTCCTTTTGTTGTTCTTGACTCTACTACATTTCTCTGCCATTTTACTTGTTTTCTATGTATATTATATACACTCATTCCATTTTCTGTATATCTCTGTACCTTTATTTCTCCTTTTTCTTTCCTTTGAATTAGGTATTTTCTATTGATTTTTAGTAATGGGTTTGTTTTTTGCTATATATTCTCTGATATACCCACATATACACAAAACATTTTAACGTCTCAGAACTGGTTGCAAATTCATGTCAGCGAGATATACATGCATTAATGTTCTTTTTCCCCTTTTATCTTTTTTGTGATGGTATTGTTTATGGTGTATACACTCACACACACACACACACACACACACATACACACACACACACATATTTCCTTGGAAATACTACAAACCCACCATTACCTTGATTCACTGGTATAATTTTTAAAGGAGCCAGGAAATGCATGTATTTAGAGCTGCTGTTATGTTAACCTTACATTTCTGCTGCTTACTGGTTTCTATGGGTTTAAGTAGTATTTGCAGGCACCTAATACCCTACTCTCCTTTGTACATTTTTGGTAAATGTATATTTCTGTTGCAGCTGTAACAATACATCATACACACTTTGTTTTATACACTCTTTTAAATTAAAAATATGCATTTATCCTGTCCTTGCAATATGTTAATGTTTTATAAGCGTTCCTGCCTTTTCCGTGTGAATGTATATTTGTGTTGCCTGTTTTCAGCACTTTTTATTGCCTTTCTATGAGTGTTGCTATTAGCAGCAAACTGTGTATTCATTTCTGAAAGAATGCTGTACAGCATGTTTGTCTTTTGACCACTCTGTTTCTGTTATGCCATTTGTACAGCTTCTGATAAGTCAGATCTTACTTATTGGACTTTCCCTGTAACGGAAAAATTGTTTTGATACTATCTATAACTTTGTACATTTTTACTATGATAAGCCCAGTATGGATCTCTTGATTCAGTCACTGTTTGTTGAGCTTTCTGAATGCGTACACCAATACTTTAACGTAAACTTGGATGCTGGCAGTCCTTTTCTACCCCATTGTCTTGCTATGCAGCCCAGGTAGCTTGATTCTTGATTCTCCTGCCCCTGCCTGCCATGATGCTCAGCTTAATCTTTACTTCTTTAAGCATCTTTTCTTGCTTCTTCGCCTCTATCTTCTGACACTCTTGTTCCATGAATGCTGATGTGCTCACTCGTGTCTAACAGTTTTCTGGGGCTGTTTCTCTTTTTTTCTGTTCTCCAGACAATATCAATCCTTAGGCAAGTTTATTGATTTTTTTTTTCCTGTTGCCAGTTCAGAGCTAACAATTTCCACTTCTAGTCAAGTTTTCATTTTAGTTAATGTACTTTTCTACTCCAGTTGTGGTTTACATACCAGTTCCTTACTAAGTTATAGGTTTTCATGAATAGATGATTGTTCATTTACTTTACAGAGTCTTTGAATACAGTGACAACAGGTTCACTGAGCTGCTCACTCTGCCATGCCTGATGTGGCTCTCTCTAAGTGTTCTCACTTTTTGTAGGTCACAAAAGAAGACAAGTCCTTCCAGAATATCATGCGTTGTTACAGGACTCAGCCACAGGCCCGGAGCCAGGTAACCATGTTTTCTCTCAGGGCTGAAAGTAAAGCTTAAGTCTGTGATGAATTAAAAAAAAAAAAAAAAAAAAAAAAAAAAAAAAAAAAAAAAAAAAAAAACAAAGTTAGCTATAATTAGTTCTGTGCATTTTTCCAGGATTCAAAACTAAGAATCTAAAGGATTGGCTATTTTCATTTTTTATTGGCATACAATTTTTTGCATTTTCTTTAAAGTCCTCTTCCTTCAAAGGCCATGATGTGAAATTTATTTTTATATATATAGGTGTATTGCCTTGATGCACCACATGGGTGCCTGGTGCCCTATGAGGCCAGAAGAGGGCACTGGATCCCCTGGAACTGGAATTACAGACTGTTTTGAGTTATCATTTGGGTGCTGGAAACTGAACCAGGGCCCCTGGAAGAGCAGCCAGTGTTCTTAACCACTGAGCTATCTCTCCAGCCCAAGACATATTTCCTAATCTAGAGATCATGAACTAGATACAAAAATCTGAAGTTAACTGATTTTTATGTCACCTTTTAGTCTGGTTTAGAAAAGACAACATAGAATGATAATTAAAAGCCGTCTTTAGGGCTGGAGAGATGGCTCTAAGTTTAAGAGCACTGACTGCTCTTTTAGAGTTCCTGAATTCAATTCCCAGGGTGGCTCACAGCCATCTATAATGAGATCTGGTGCCCTCTTCTGGCCTGCAGGTGTACATGCAGGCAGAAAACTATAAATAATAAATCAATCTTTAAAAAAAACTGTCTTTAACATGGCTCATTTGTCACTGAAAACCAATAATGTTGTTAAACCTTTGTTTCTTAAAATGCTTGACTTTATAGTTGATTTGAGCACTGTTTTGTAGTGTTTAAAGCAGTGAGACAGGCTCTGATTTAAGTCCCAGCTGTCAATAAATAGCTTCTGTGACCAAGATCACAGTTTTGTTATTGCTATTGTTGAGACAGGCTATGTAGTTCTGTGGCCTGTTAGTTTCTGTAGGTCAATGTAGCCTTGAATTCCTTGCCTGCCTCAACCTCCCAAGTACTGGTATTAAAGAATGTACACTCACACCAAGTACTAGTGCACACAGACATACAACCACATCTGGCTAGATCAAAGTTTTCATGTGTGTGTGTGTGTGTGTGTGTGAGAGAGAGAGAGAGAGAGAGAGAGAGAGAGAGAGAGAGAGAGAGAGAAAGAGAGAGGAGAGAGCATAAGCTGGCCATTAACTTGCAACACTCCTCCCTTAACCTTCTGAGTGCTGGGATCACAGACATGCACAATGCCTAACTTGGTTGTATTTCCTAACATCCCCTAAAGAAAACCATAATTAGGTGGATTTGTGTGAGAACCAAATACCATATGCCAAGGTCCTACCACATAGTATATATTCAATAAACGCTAGTTTCTCTCCCCTTCTCACTGTCTCTTTAAAGGTATACAGAAGTGTTTTGATAAAGGCAAAAAGGAAAAGAAGAAATTCTGGCAGCAGTGACAGCAGAAGCCACCAGAATTCTCCAACAGAACTAAACAAGGACCGAGGTAAATAAAATAGATTTTTATGAACATCTATTTTTAGGCCAAGAAGAATAAGAATTTTAAAATAAGAATACTTATAGAAGTAGTTTATTCTCAAATAATTTGGTGGAATAAATGAAATTTAATGGTCAGTTGTTCCTTATTCCAATGCTTTGAGACATATAGAGAATAACATGTTTCAGATAGGAATTTCCAGCCTGAATTCCAGAAGAGCTTGTTTATTGATTAGACCTGTGCTATGTAAATGCTGCTCCTAGTTGTTGATCTAAATGTGTTAGTTCTAGAGACGTCTGTGTAACTTACTAATATAAATTACTCAGTCAACCTCTGTTACGCTTATAATAATGGAATAAAGTTATTAGTATTTTGAGCTTTGTTCCTTGGTATGAAGAACAGAGCTCAAGATCCAGGAGTGGTGACCCATGCCTGTAATCTCATCTTTACCAAGTCTAAGGCAGGAGGCTTGTGAGCTCCAGACCTACCTAGACTATAAAGTGAGACCATCACTTATTGGGTAATAATAGTAATAGTAGTATTAATAATAATAATAATAATATTAGAGACCATCTCTCATTGGGTAATAATAATAGTTAATAACAACAATAAAGCCAAGGGCTGGGAGATAGCCCAATCAGTAAAGTATTCTGTACAGGGATGTGGACCGTCTGAGTCTGATTCCCAGCCACTACATAAAAAGCCAGGCATGATAGCAAGCACTTGCAATCCTAGTTCTGGGAGGCAGAGACATTACATCACTGGGGTTTGCTAGCGGTGAGCCCCAGGTCCCACTGAGAAACCATTTCAGAAAACAAGGCAGACAGCTCCCAAAGAATGGTACCTAAGGTTGGCCTGTGGCCTCCACACTGATGTATATCTGCATACCCATGAATGACATACACCAAACCCCCAAAAATCAGAATGCCTGCTTATTGCCATTGATGACTAATGCACACATCTAGTTGCTCCCCATTTTCCTTAGTGAAGTGTCTTTTTTTCAAACAATCTAGACCACCACCCTTTGTTCTCTTGGCTGCAGCCAGCAGAGACTCCAGTCCAGTTACGAGATCAAACAGCACCTTACCAGCTCCACAGCCCAGCAGTGCCCCTCCCACACCAACTCGACTCACAGGCGCCAACAGGGACATTGAAGAGGAAGAGAGAGGAGACCTCATTCAGTTCTACAACAACATCTACAGAAAACAAATCCAAGCATTTGCCATGAAGTACTCACAGGCAAACGTAAGTGAGTCAGGGATCACTGAATGCTGCTTTTACTAGTGCGGGAGCAATCATTTGTTTGGGTTCTTCCACCATAAATTAGATTTACAAATACTTCTTTCACTAAATAAAGCTAAGGAAGTCTTCAAGTACCTTGCCTAGTCAACATAATTTCTACTGTTGCTCAGTACACTGTAGAATTTTCTACATCTAGTGAAACAGGAGACAGCAGCCAAATGGGTTTAGATTGTATAGTATTTAACATGATGACCTTGCAAATTACTTAAACTTTCTCTGTACTTTGTCACCACATATATTAAATGAGAATGGTAGTAATAGTTTATCTGATTGTTGCAGAGGTTCAATGCTGTAATGTGCAGAACTGCTTACCACAGGGACTGGCAGAAGCTAAACATCTGCACATGTTGGATGTTATCTGCATCTCTATTTTCTTTGCTTGTTGCTGATCCATTACTGTTCAGCATTCAAAAGTTTCCGGTTGATTCTGCTCCTCACTCAGTAAAATTGATGGCTTTTAATACAACCTGGCTAGAAAAGTTTTTTTTTTCTCTTCTCTCAGATTTACTTACTTTGTTTTCAACAGATGGACACTCCTCCCCTCTCTCCCTATCCATTTATAAGAACAGGCTCTCCTCGCCGAATACAGCTATCTCAAAATCATCCTATTTACATTTCCCCACATAAAAATGAAGCAATGCTTTCTCCTCGAGAGACTATTTTTTACTACTTCAGCAACAGCCCATCTAAGGTAAGACTACATAAATGGCTTTAGCTAACTCTAAAATGCTTTAGTATTCTAGGAATAGTTTTTGCTCAGCAGAAGCACTTCCTGGAGCAATGGCAACTGCCAAGCAACAGAAGGCAGTAAGTCACAAGGGGAAAAGCCCAGGGTGAACTGGTTTGAGTTTTGAGGACATCAGGGTTGGAAATAAAAGAGGAACTAACTCGATTTTTCTTGCCTCCTTTTCTATCTGTACATTTTAGACACTGGGTTTTCTTCATTAGTAAAACTTTATTTTCCTACTTTTCTTCAGAATAGAAACTTTGGACCCTTAAACTAGTTACCAAGTTCTGTTTCTGCAACAGGCAGTATCTCTGTCTTTTGGACTCTGTTTAAGGGAAAATGGAGAGCTCAGTGTTAGACATAAGCGGTACCATCTGTCTCAGCCTGGGAGTAGAGAAAAGAGGCTTAATGGTGGAGAGCATATAGTTCCTGAGATACGGAAGTGCATCCAAGAAGCAGACAAGAGGAAGAAAGTGATATCCTTAAGGCAAAGGCTATCTCATGGGAGTAATGTAGACAGACTTAGATGGGGACAGAAGGAGTTATGACAAGCCAAATGCCCTCTTGAGTAGCACACATGTGTATGCCCTTTAGACTGGGTTGTGCTTGGGGAACCATGCAGCACAGGGCAGAGTTGGGACTCAGTGTGGCACCCGCATTGATGACATTGGACGTTACACATTGGATTTGGCTTGTTGCGGCTCTTTGGTGACTGAGCCATCTCCCTAGCCCTCTTACCCTTTTGATTTCTTTACCCCTTCACACCATACCTTTTTGGTATATATTTGGTTAAAACTGCAAGTTTTATAGGAAATACTGTCACAATATAAGGGATCTCATCCTACTACAATTGCTGTCAGTCATCTGCTGTCAGTCTGTCTGTAGGTTTCAAAAATAATCCCACTAAGACCATCTGAAATTACATGTAAAAATTTACGTAGCTGTTTCAAATGTGAACACACAGTTTAAAGGATGTCAGTCCTGCTGGATGGTGGTGGCACACACCTTTATTCCTAGCACTCTGAGTTTGAGGCCAGCCTGGGCTACAGAGGGAGTTTCAGGATGACAATCCAAATGTCTAGTAGTTAAGGAATTAAAAAAAAAAAATGTCTGTATGTGGCCCCAAAGGTGCAGTATTAGCACATGATTCTGTGTGGGTAATCTCTGAAGACATGACAGTGAGACTAGTTATAAAAGACTGCCTGTGATTCTACTTAAGTGAGATGCCCCCAATGAGCAGATACTCCGAGGCAGAAGGCAGGTTAGTGGTTGCCTGGGGAAGGAAGCATTTCTGTTAGTGGGAAAGATTTCTTTGAGAGCAATAAGGTTGAATGTGGAAGTTGGTTGTACCACGTGGATAGCACTGGAGTCACACACTTTTTAAATGGTGAAATATACAGTATGTAAATTATAGCTCAGTAAAGCTGTTGTAAAGAAAATGTTCAAAACACCATGCTAGCCAAGTACAAATAGAACGGAGTAGCTATGGAACAGGGAAATTGGACTTCAGAGCAATTAGTATATGACCAAGAGATTTATTTCCTGGGCTGGAAATACAGCTCAGTGATAAAGCATTTGCCTAGCAAGTATGAAGCTCTATGCTGAATTGTGAGAGATGTGAGATAAGAGAGAAAAGAAAGAAAAAATAAATCCATGGTCGAAAATTCAACATAACTGATAGAATAATAAATAGGCAAAGAAAATAAATATATAAAAAGTGGGAGCATGGCATGGATTGAGAAAAAGAAGGGAGAGTCGGATTGGGAAGGGATGAGGAAGGGGCTACAGTTGGGATACAAAGTGAATAAACTGTAATTAATAAAAAATTAATTAAAAAATAACAACAACAAAAAAGATGAGAACATAATCCAACAGCATTAAGTGCATGTGGACATTTTCACAGATGCAGACCACACTCTAGACTGACCCATCTTATCCATGCTAGGCAGCTGCTCATCCACGGAACTACATCCCCACATTTTTAGTAAATTAAAGGATTCAAAGAATGCATTTTTTTTTTTTCTGGCCATAATGGCAATGAACCAGAAACTACTACTAACAAGAATGCTATCTGAAAATCTCCAAGGTTTTGGAAGCTAAATATCAGATTTCTGTGGGTCAAAAAAAGAGATCACAAGAGAAACTGAAAGCATTTTATATTGATGAGCATCTACAATGTTAAAATTCCAGGTGTCTTAGTCACTATTATGTTACTGTGAAGAAGCACCATGACCAAGGCAATTCTTACAAAGGAAAGAATTTAATTGTGGGTCTATTATTATCATGGCAGGGAGCTGGTGTCACATAGGCAGACCTGGTGCTAGTAAAGTACCTGAGAGGTCTACACCTTGATCTGTAGGCAGACTCTGGGTTTGGTATTGGCTTTTGAAACCTTCAGTGACACACTTCCTCCAACAAGGCCACACCTCCAAGTCCTTTCAAATAGTGCCACTCACTGGTGACCAAGCATTGAAACCTATGAGCTTATGGGGACCATTCTCATTCAAACCACCACTGTGGGCTACAGCTGAAATAGTGCTAACAGGTAAATGGTACATCACTCAACATTTCTAAATGCCACACTACCAATACACACTAAAAGTTAGCTTGAGGGTCAAGGAGTAACTCTCATGCCGATAACGTGGTGGTGCAGGAAGAAATGGACAGACTCTGTGACAGAACTACATCACTAAGAAGCAACCTTAGCTGCTCTTCCAGAGCGCCCCAGTTCAGTTCCCAGCACCCACATGATGGCTGACAACTGTCTATAATGGGATCTGATGCCCTCTTCTGTCACACAGGCATACATGGAAAGAGAGCATTCATATGTTTAAAATACATGAATAAATAAATAGTAAATACAATACTGAGCCTCAGGTGCTCCGTATTGATTTTCTTGTTTGCTTTTAGATTTTATGTGTATGAGTATTTTGTGTATATTTATGTATATTCCCCATACATGTGCCTACGGAAGTTTGAGGAGGGCATCAGGTCCCCTAGAATTGGAGGTGAAGATGGTTGTGAGTTACCATGTGGGTGCTGAGAATCAAACCCAGGTCCTCTGTAAGAGTAACAAGTGCTCCTAACCTTGAGCCATCCCTTCAGCTCCTTTATTTGGTTTTGAAATAGGATCTCATGCCATTTTCCTGACTCAGCCTCCTTAAGTGCTGATATTACAAACAGGGTTACCATACCAGTCTTAAATTTTTAGTTTAAAAAACTCCTCAAATAAACTGTAGCTACAGAAAACTTTATTGGTGAATTATACAAGACATTAAAGAAAGAAATAATGTCAGTTCTATATTAAACTCTTCAAAAAATGTAAAGATTTTTTTTTTTTGTAATTTAATAAAAACATCTTTGGAAGAAAGAATTTGATGAAAATTTGGTGATATAACATCATGGCTAACAGTGAGAACCTGAATGCCTCCCTCTGGTATTCACTCTCTCTTCCATTCATGCTTTGCCCATTAGATTTTGCCATATATAAGCAAAATAAAGAATCCATGTATGGATTGTGTATAGAAAAACCACAAAGAAGTATGAAAATTACTTGAAGTAGTAAGACTGGGAAGGTTATACACTTCAGAGGAAAAAATATTTATACTTCTAATGAAAAACAAAAAGTAAAAACATTCTTAAGCAACATAATAGCATTAAATTTTAAATAAAGATGTTTTTAAACTACAAAATCTTGTTGGAAGAAATTAAAGCTTGAGAAAATGGGAAATGTAATATTCTTGAATTAGAAAACAAAGAATCTTTTTTTTTTTCCAATTGATCTATAAATTCAACCTACCCAGTCAAAATCACAGCAGAATTATTTGTCTAACAGAATCAAATGATCCAAAAATTTGCACAAACAGGCAAGGAACTGAATAATACAACTTTGGAAAAGCTGGAGGGCACACCCCATCTCTTTCTCAGGCTTATAGTAATGTTGCTACAAGTGCAAATGAGAGGTCAGTACAACACACTGAAGCAGACCATGTGCACATGGTGAGCTGATTCTTTCACAAAGGTGCCATGGCAGCTTGTGAAAACTCGTGTCAGCTGGTGGTGCCAAACTGAGGCTCAATCTATGTGCTGTAATGATCATAAACTCATATGCATGTCTTGTGCCACATGTAAAGATTAATGCAGCAAAATCACAGCTATAAATATAAAGCCTAAAATTGAAAACTTGTAGAAGAAAACAGTCTTGGTGAGCATGTGTTGTAGACAGATTTCTCAGATATAACATAAAAGTTCCAATCCATAAAATAAGTTGTGATTCATCAAAATCAAGAATTTGTTTTAAAACAGTGTTAGAGGGACTGGGGAGATGGCTCAGATGTTAAGAGCACTGACTGCTCTTCCAGAGGATCTGGGTTCAATTCCCAGCACCAACATGGCAGGTCACAACTGTCTATAACTTCAAGATTTGACAGCCTCACACAGAAATACATGCAGGTAAAACACCAATATACATAAAATTAAAAATAAATCAAGAAACCAGTGTTAGAATGAACAAAGATGCTATGGGTTGGGAAATAAAAAACAAACAAACAAAAACACTGAGACATCCCATTTCTGGTGAAGGATTTACATGTCCACAGGACATAAAGGATGCAAAATCGGGCAACAAACACCAGGTCCACAAGTCCTGGCAATGCTGCGGGGCAACTAGAACCTATACTGCTGGAGGGGCCACATAGTGCGACAGCCATATTGGAACACACTTTGGCAAGTTCTTTTAAAGTTGGGCCTGTAGCTATCATAGTTCTTACATATTTAGTGAAGTGGAAATTTATGTTCATTCATAAACATGAATGTTTACAGTAACTATTCCCAGTCATCAGAAAATTTAAAACAACCAAAATTTCCTTGATCTGATTAATGGATAAAGAAACCTGCATTTCAGTAAATTATTACTTCAATAGTAATTTTTTAAAAACCCAGCAACTCAGGAAGCTGAAGTAGAATGTTAAGTATGAGACCAGGCCAGCCTGGCTATCATGGAAATGTCCTATCCAAACCCCACCAAACTTTAAACCCCAAAGCCTACCAATCACTAAATCAAGCCAGAACTACTGATAAGCTCAATAGCATCACTGGATTCAATGCATTCATTACGTACGTGAAATGCACTAAGATTAGTTGTCTATTTATCACAGCACTCCAGAGAAGACTACCTCTTCACTGAGCAGGAACTCAGTGAGCATCGGGGCTTCATAGAAACATGAGGGAAATTTGGAAAAAGGGAAATGCATTGTTTTTATTAAGGTTATGTAACAGCTGAGACTGTCCTTTGTCCACATATGCACTTGCATGCAGAAACACACATTATTAAGATTTGATGAAGAAAGATTTGTCATTATATCTCAACAGAGACAACTGAAACCACAAAGCAAGCAGTATGGATCTATAGCTCAAATAAATATTCACAGCCCAAAGAGGAAAGAAAACTGTTTATCAGACTGTCCCTGTAAGAGCTTATCCATGGAGTGTTACAGCCTGTTGGACAAATTACAGTATAGCTTATAGTATTAAGAAACTAGGAAAAAATAATAACCAGTGGGGGATTAGCCATGGAAAATATACTCTGAAATACTATGGAGATATTAAAGAGATGAGGTGAAGCTACAAATGCTGACATCCATACACAGAGTCCTAAAATACACCATCTTAAAAAAACATTACTCCCTAATGCATATTTCTAGGAGTAAGAGCAGTCCTAGAAAAAGGGCAGAGGATACACACAAATTAGCCAGATTTTTATAGTGGACTAATAGCAGGTATCCCTAGGGACTGGGTGAAAATAAACAGGTGTGGAATAGGCTGGTGACATGGCTTTAGCAGGAACCGCATGGTGGAAGGAGGCAACTATAGTAATCCACACAGATACTATGAGTAATGAAGAGGCTAAGCATATTCCCTGTGGCATTCTAGGATGAGACTGTGAGGGTCAGAAAGATGATTCAGAGGGTAAAGGCACTTGCCTCACACATTGGTGACCTCAAATCAGTATCAGGACCCCACATAAAAGTAGGAAAGAACTCCATAGTTGTCATCTGACCTATACATGTACAACTTGGTGGCAATTCCCCCTCTGGCAAATGTTAAGATTTGAATGTTTGAACTGTGAAAAAAAATATCAGGTAAGTGAAATATATAGAAAATACCATGTACTGAATGTACATAATAGAATTACCTACAGAACTGTGCTGTGTATTACGGTATCTGTGTACACTGAAGAGTAACCTGATTTATAATTTATTTAATCAACTTACATAGTCAGTGAGCAAGATAATGAATATTGAGATAAACTGGAGACTCAGAGACAGCAAATATGGTCTAGACTTCTTTTAAGAAGGCCAAGCAAGAGGAGAAAGGATCAAAGAAATCTTATGGTAGTTAAACTTTTGAAAATACATTTGCTGTCATAAAAAACATTGATGATTTAATTGAAAATTTCAGAAGTTTATTTCAAAGTAAAGAATTGAAATGATGGACTAGAGTGTAGCTTAGTGGTAGTGTGTACGTGGCATGCAGTAGGCCCTGGTTTAATCCCCAGAACCACAAAAAGTTAAAAAAAAAAAAAAAGTAATGAATTATGTCTAAGATATACTATTCTTTTGTTTCATGTAGCCCAGGCTGGCTTCAGATTTGCTGTGTAGTTGAAGATGGCCTTCAATTTGTAATTCTTCCAATTCCAACTCTGGAGTGCTGTTACTCCAGGTGTACCACTACGCCTTTTATGCAGTGCTGGGAATTAAACATTCTACCAATCGAGCTATAGCCCTAGCCCTAGGATATGCATTTTAAAATCTGGGGGTTGAGAAGTGTCCAGAATTGTCCAAGCAGGGTGATGTGAGGATTTACTATTCCTATTTATCTACCACTCTAAAATTCCTTAAACTATGTGGAAGTTAACATTCTCAATAACTTGTTTGTTCTTTCAAGACAGGGCTTCTCTGTGTACCCCTCACTGTCTTAGAACTTGCTCTGTAGACCAGGCTGGCCTTGAACTCAGAGACCCACCTGCCTCTGCTTCCCAAGTGCTGCCATTAAAGGTATGTGCCACCACTGCCCCCTCAATATCCCTCTGAAATAAGAAATGTGAATAAAAATTCTAGCCAACAAGGCAACCAAAGAAAATGGTGTCTGAGTAGACTTTGGGGCCCTGGGAAACAATGCTGATGACGTATTTCTTTACTGGGCTGCTCACTGAAGCCACCTAATATGAGAAATAATTTTACTAACTTCTTGGTTCTCTCAAGGAAAGCATATAACCAGTGCCTCCAGAAACCACTGACATTAATACCTGTAATGAATGCCTTGAGGAACTAAAGCTTATTTCTCTAGTGAAATTGTGATTGAGAAGGACTGCTCGAAAAAGTGGCTCAGGCATGTTATTCTAGCTACTGGGGACACAGAGGCAGGAAAATCACAAGGTCAAGTTGTCCTGCTTGGACTACAGAGTTCAAAGCTAGTCTGGCTAACTTGGCCAAGACTGTCTGAAAATGGAAAAGAAACTTGCCATAGTGGCTCACACTTTTTATTCCAGCATGCACGAGGCTGCTGTAGGAGTCATGCAGTGACACTGAGGCCAGTCTGGGCTACAGTGACACACTGTCTCAAAACAAGAAAGGGAGGGGAGACTGGCAGCTTGAGACAAGGTCTTGCTATATAACGCCAGCTGACCTGGGCCTCAATGTATAGCTAGGTTGACTTTGAACCTACAGCAATCCTCTTGCCAAGTAGCGAGACCATAGGAGCGGGCCACTGAACTTCCAAGTCACACTGTTTTTTTAGCTTGTATGTGGAACTGTCAAGATGGCTCAGAGGGAGACGGCACTTGCCATAAAAGCCCCACATGAAGAACTGACTCCAGAGTTGTCCTCTGACCCCCACACATAAATGTGCATGCACGCATGCACACACACTCTGAGCTCCATACTGTGCACACATAAGAATCTCAAAGTAGATGTGTGATTAACCATGATACTATAACTGTGATACTATAGGACTATCAATCACAAGTTGCTGAACATGTGTATCACAGATATTTGTACCACAATCACAAGGAAGTTTGTTTAGAATGGAAATGCTCTGCCCCACTCAAAGTCATCAGTGTCCTGGCAGAATCTGCTCAGGGTTTTCTTTCTGTAAAGGTGTTCAAATGCTTAAACTTCTGAATAATTTGAAACTCTTTAACTTAAAACTGAATAATGTGCTTTTTTAAAGACAAAAAAAAACAAAAAACAAAAAACCCAATGTCCTTTATTAGCATGTTAAAGTTTTTATAACTATCTTTTTCCCTCCACAGAGACTGAGAGAAATTAACAGTATGATTCGGACAGGAGAGACTCCAACTAAAAAGAGAGGAATTCTCTTGGAGGATGGAAGTGAATCACCCGCAAAAAGAATTTGCCCAGAAAACCACTGTGCTCTGTTACGTCGTCTCCAAGATGTAGCTAATGACCGAGGTGCACGCTGAGGTCAGTCTCCAGTATGGAAACTGTCTTCGCATGTACTGCTTAGCAGGAGTGCTTAACGCGTGCAGGATTATGGGACCTTGTTCCTTAATCCAGCAACTGATTAGAGCCTGGGAGAAAAGGGAAGCGTCTCTGACTGGTGTGGCAGTACATGCCTGCTAACCCTGCGCCAAGAGGGAGAGGGTAAGAGGACCAGGAGTTTAAGGCCAACCTGAGCTACATGGCAGTCTGAGGCCAACTTGGACTACAAGTAACCCTGACTCAACTTCCACCCAACCCTCCCAAAAGAAAAACCTAGAATGGACATTTTGGTGAGAAATTAGACTTATTCCAGTATCCTTAGGCTACTTTTTAGTCATCCCAGTTGCCTCTCCCCTACTACTTAGTGCTTACCTTCAACACTGCTCAGAATCCAAACCTGGATTTTTTTTTTTTTTTTTAACTCTGGTAAACTTTTACAACCAACTCAGAAAGCAAATCTTTAGAGGCCTTTGTAGGTATGCTCCAGTAGAGGAACTGATTTTAATTCATTCCCGCTTTTATATGGTTAGGTCCAACCATGTGTTTTAGGACGAAAACACCTGAGACGTTTACATTCATGAAGCAACAGATGGGACAGCCCAGACCTGGAAGTCTCCATGCACTTGCCCAAGGCTCCTGCTTGCTTGAAGCACTATCCTTCCCCAGTAGGTATAGTACAGTGAGAAAGTTGTGCAATGTCTGAACCTGTGTAATTGGTGGCACTTTAGGGCCGGAAATGCAAGGCGTTGTGACCCAGCAAATTTTTGCTGTATATTTATGATGGTATGATGGCACTTTCTATGGTGTGGACTTTAGTAGGTACAATACTTCCAGGCTAAACAACAGCCAATATTTTCTTTAATGCTTTTCTCACAGGACTGTTGATATAGCTACATGTTCTGGGCACATGTAAAACTCTCCAGTTTGTGGTAGTGGCATTACATAAAGATCATTTAAAAAGATTTTTAAATCAAGTTGAATTGAGGAAATTTGAAAAATCACTTCCTTTTGGAGGAAGTTATCCAAAGGAAAGTATCTTTGAGGGTTCCTGGAAGTTAAAAAAAAATAGGTTGGAGAATTTAGGTTTTTATTAGTACATAGTACCAGTATACAAATTAGAAAATTATTTAACAGCTGTTGATTATCTACACATCTTTATTAATCATTATTGTCCAGTTGTTTTTAAGTTGGATTAATAATCCTAAGGAGAAAATTCAATTGTAAATTGGATCATTATAAACAGTTACTAGGTAACGTCATACTGCTCTAAAGAAAACTAGCTGAAAACCAACCCCCTGCACTGTCCACTAGAGCAGTGCTGTGCAAAGTACTTATACATCTGCTTGGTACCGCTACTGTAATTTTATATGAAAATATGTGTATTTTTCAATAAAGCACTTATAAATTAGTCTCTGTTTAGTTATATTGAAAAAGAGCATTAGTTTCCTGCATAAATGACAATCATTTATTGGTTTATTTCATCTCTACTAACACATCGGTCATTCACCATTTAAATACCTGACTTCATTAGAAACCGTTTGAACACTTTTTCTTCCTCCTACCATAAAAATACAGTAATTTGCCTTAAAAAAAAAAAAAGAACAAGCATCCTGGTTCTGCCTACTTTCCTAATGCTTCTGAGATAGACATTTACAGCAAGTCAGCAGGCTGAAGCCGGAAAGCCAGTCTTCTACTTGAAAGTGCTGCACTCTGGAGTCTGTGCTCTACACCCTTCTTCATGGCCTAACATATGTACAGCTGAAGCCACCAACTGCAGACTATTCCACTGTACTCATTTCTCTCTGCTCTGTTAGTTTCAGTAAACACAACTTACCTCTACCATATTCAGAAAAATACTCAAGCCTCAAGGTCCCCAATAATTTGGAGTACTGACCTAGATCCAGCCTGACACTTCAGACAGAAGTAACACATTACTCAACAAGGGCTCCATAACCTGCTGTTAGAACCTACGCATACACAACACTGAGCCAGTCACTGTTCACGCGGTTTACTCTTCAGGCAGTCCTTTGCCAGAGTCCAGCAGGAAAGTGCATGGTGCGCCACAGCCACCATCTCTTAGGTTGCTACTGTTTTTTCTTCTTTACTGAAAGGCTGTACTGAGCCAGGCTTTACCCATGACAGGCCAGCAACATGAACACTTTTACTGTGCTGTTCATCAGGCTTCTTCTAGGCATAATCAAAAACAAACATTAAAAAAAAAGGACTGATGAGGAGCAAGTTCAGAATCACACTGACTAGTTTCCCCAAGTGTTAGCTACATGTAACAGTGGCTTCCAGTACAGACAATTAAGAAACCAGGATAGCCATTTCAAAAATAGTTATGTACTTACTTTCTGAGTCAGCATCTTCTCTCTGGCCTCATCATGTACAGAAGGGTTCCATGGAGAAAAGCTTGAAGGGCAGAAAATATTAAAAATAGTTCATGACTTTCTAAATGTGTATAGCATTCATTTTTCAACAAGTAAGACAACTCTAATAAAACTTAAGGAAAAAATATTTTAAGAGTTTCTCTGTAGCCCTGTCTGTACTGGAACTCAACTCTGTAGACCAGGGTGGCCTTTGAACTAGGCCTGCCTCTGCCTCCCGAATGCAGGGACTAAAGGCATGTGCCTCCATCCCACACCCCTGGCTAAAGAGCAATCTTTAATCAGTTGCTAGCATGTACACTGATACTATCTAAAAGTGTTTTTCATCTGATAATTACCTCTTATAAACAAACATTCCTGTAAAAGTCATTACCCAGCCCCGCACCCCCCCCAAAAAAAAAAACATTATTTAAAGATGAAAAAAACAAGGCAGAGTGAAACCAAGTAACTGCTTTGGATTACCAAGGCTAAAGTACAGAGGCCAAGCAGTCTGTCAGTGGAGCCCCAAGCAGCACTACAGTATGCTTCCCAGCGATACCAACGTCCACCCACGCTATAGTGCCCTCCATTCTTTCACGTTCTCTCCATCTAACTGTCAAGGTGGAACGGTGGATCTAGTTCAGTACTTCCAGTATCTTCCTGATGTGTTAGAGGTGAGCAATGATTAATAGCAGAGAGAAGTGAGTTTGGTTTCAGCTCTACGTATGTTTGGCCATGAAGAAGGGTGTAGAGAGCAGATCACATACACTGCTTTCTGAAAACTCCTCACATGGAAAAATGAAAGAGCACTTGTCAGATGCCCAGGAAACCAAAGACACTAAATATCTCGTTACTGACAGTACGAAAGCCACTTTTCAGTTTAAGGCCAAGAACACAAGTGGCATTAAGAGCTGAGCTGCAGGATATGAAAAGGTCCAGGCTAACATTCCATATGTTCCTCTAAAGCTTTATTCTGAGGTAATGTGGAAATAAAAAGTGACAAGCCACTTACCTAATTGCATAGGGGTCTTCTATCTTCGGTTGGTCAAACAAACGAGCAGTACATACTTTAACACTGTCAACCACTTTACTTTTAAAAAGCTGAATGTCCTTTTCATACCTGTGTTAAAAGTTTTTAAAATTTACCAATTTATTTTAAATAACAAATTGATGTTAAATAATAGTAAATAAGTTTATCCTATGTAACAAACGTCACATACAGTACTGCAGCCTCTGGGTTTAGGGGGCTTGTTGTGTCGATCTTGTAGAAGACTCTCCTTGCATACATCAACACCTGCCATATATGATTATGGTTCCGCCTGCAGGGAAACAAGGTGATTGCTGCAGCTTGTTCCTGACGGCTATGCTACTACCAGAAACACTGACACACTAACCTCCACTTTGCGAATGCTCTCTTCACATCCAGTTCACCTGAGGTGGGATCGACTAGCGGGTGAAAGACGGGAATATCAAACAGCAAGCGCTATATAGAGAGAGACACTTCAGTGGGAGTGATGTCATGCTGCTACTCAGATCAGGCCCACAAAGGACCCTTAACTAACCATTTTCCTTTTAAAAAACAAACAAACAAAGAACAGTTTTGCATCGGGGAGATGCTACTTTCCTCCCCTGTGGCATGGCCATCACCCGTCATATGATGATTGGGGCAGGATGGGCTCCAACCTCACCCACACACCCTGAGAGGAAAAAGGGTGAAGCTGCAGGCAGGTAACATGGCCAGAGGTAAAAGTCCCATCCCCGTCAGCTTGGGAGACATACATCTGAGGAGATGGGTCATTACAAGGTTTATGGTCTGGGTAAGAATTAGGAAGTCTGCAAGCCTTGTTCCCCTCAGTGAGCGAGGCTCCGCGTGGGCTCAGCTGTAGACCTACTTACTGGACAGTCGCCATCTGGATAGTTATCAGGAATGTACACCGTAAACTTGAATACGCCATCCTGATACAGCCCGTGTCGTATAAATATTACTCCAAACCACACTGCAGGGGAACACAAACACGCTCAAGTCCCATCTGTGTCAGCAAAGTCCCACCCCATGCCGTAAATGAAGGGAGAATCTACATCTCACCTAATGCAGAGCGGTAAGATGGCTGTACATAGACGCCTGGCAGCTTCTGCTTCACTACCAATGTGCTACAACAAGAGCAGTGTGATAATCAGCTCACAGATGCCAGTGATATCTAAGCCAGGCCACCCACATTTTCTGAGATAAGACGTCACCCATCCAGGGCAGATGGCACCCAAACTACACAAACAAAATCATTCTAGTCTCACACACACCTGAGTGTCTCCTAGATTGCACCCACCTCATACTTCTAAACCAGCCCACAGAGAAACTTGAGTCAATACACGGTCCCAGATTCAGAAAGCCAAACAGCGACAAAAGAATCAAGTCTCTGCAACTCTCAGAAACAGATACATTAGGACATTAAAACTGAGGTAAGTGAGCGACGTGGCAGTCCCCCGCATTTAGTCCCAGCACTCGGGGCACAGAAGGTGGATCTCTCTGAGTCAAGACCACATAGTGAGGCCCTGTCTCAAACAAACAAAAACACCACAATAAAACTGAGATAAACGTATTTGTAAAATGACTGATTTTATCATTATAAGTTAGGGAGCTCAGAGATTCAAGTTTATTTTTTACTATTAAAAACGTGGTGTTTTCCTTTGAGGCTTTAGCATACTACATTTGTACTATGAAATTAAAAGCAAACTGTTGCAGTTGCAATCACAGGTACTAAATAAGAGTTCAGAGCTGCCAAAGGTAAGCTGTCCTTGCAAGCCGCCTCTCTGGGTCACATGGCAAGGCAGACTTTAGGTGTACACGCTGCTTGAAGAGGCGGCCATCACTTGAGCTTCCAAACACCATACATTCAGATTCTTTGGGCCTTGTTAGAGAAGATGCATGCTGACAAGGCAAGACACAATTGTCATGGCAGAAAGATGCTACTGGTCCTTCTGGGACCGACCGAGTTACACACTGGCAGCCATTTCGCTTGGTCCCTGAAGCTGCAGTTATGAGTTACAATCTAACACTGAAAAGGACAGTGCTGACCAAGGCACTCTAAACACATTTACCTGCAAATCCTGAAATGTATGGAGAAATAGTTTATGGAGCTTTTAAAAAGATTTTATTATTTATTTTATTTTTTGAGACAGGATTTCTCTGTGTAGCCCTGGCTGTCTCGGAACTTGCTCTGTAGACCAGGCTGGCCTTGAACTCAAGTATTTGCCTGCCTCAGCCTCCTGAATGCTGGGACTAAAAGCTTGCACCATCACACCTGGCAAGATTTATCTTTATGTGAGCATTTTCCCTACCATGTATGTAAATGTACCATGTGAGTCCCTCATCCCCAAAGAGGCCAGAAAGGGACATCAGATCCTTTGGAACTGTAGTAACAAATGGCTCTAAGCTACCAACCATGTGGGTTCTGGGAACTGAACTCCAGTTCTCTGAAAGTATCAAGTGCTCTTAGCTACTGAGCCATCTCTCCAGCACCTGTTTATTACCTACTAAGTTACTTATGTACCCCCAGGCTGACCTTGAATGCATGATAGATCTTACTGCAACCATTACAGGAAGATCCATTACCTTTGCAAGTCCCTGAGATTTAGTTAACAGAAGCATGGCTAGCAGACAGAGCTACCCACAGAGAAGGCAGTTTGTGTTTAACACACAGCCAACTTTCAGCCACCACAATAGGAGCCTGTCACCTCACTGCTCAGTCTCAAAACACAAGGCGTCCATTATAAAGTTGAAGACCATTGCTACACTACACTGGGGCCTCATTCCCTCTGACCATTACAGCATCAGTACCCTCGGCAGGGTGATCAAGATGCTTTGAAAATAACTGACCTACAAGGAAACTTAAAGATTATAGAAGTTAAGATTCTCCAGGCTTGCTGTCCCTTTGACAAATGGTCCCAAACTTCATGGTCCTTGAATCCCATGTCTGTGTCAAGCAGTGTGCCATCACTACTGGCAGGCTGCAGCACTCAGTCCCTGCTCTTCTTAGCTTCAGTGCAAGGGTAGGCTCAGGAGAACCTCCTGGTAAGGAGCTCTGAGGGTAAGTCTTCTAACAAAAGACCTTCCAACATACAGAACAACAATACAAAATTATAAGTACTCTCCTGAGGGCTGGCCAAGAAGGCTTAGTGAGTAATGTACCTGCCACCAAGTATGACACCTGAGTTCAATCCCTGGGACCCACATGCTAGAAGGAGAAAAGTAACTAAGAGATGTTCTCTGACCCGTGCCATGGATCACCCCACCCTACAACACACACACACACACACACACACACACACACACAAACACACACAAATAAAATGAAATTTAAAGAACAATTTTAAGCACTCTTGAGTTTTCCAAGTCAGTGTTTCTAGTTCCTTCACCTGCTGACAGTAGCTTCCCGATCCTTTCCTACTGGTATTCCTCCTTTCTGTCAGGGTGTTTCCTAAAACGTGAGAGCCAAACTCCCCAGTAGGTGTGCCCACTTGCTAAAGAAACCCCCTCCAGTGAAATGCCTCACAGAAAGGAAGACTGAAATTGAGGTCCCTAATCCACTGTATATTCTCTCAAGTCCCACCTTCCTTCCTGTCCTCCAATGTGGAGCAAGCTGGGGACACACCTGGACTTTAAGATTTATCAGGAGTCTATCAGGAGACATGATTTCAGTCTTGACTCTCGGGCATACCATTCATAACTGACCAGTCACCTGTGAAGGACTCACAATTCTGCAAGAAGCGAATATTCCAAGTAGAAGGGTCCGTAAGAAGCGTGGGTGCCATTTGTTGACTGTGCTGCTGGGGCAGGAGATGTAGGCTTTGTTATGGGCAGAGCATTTTTGGGAATAGAAGGCAGTTGCTTTTTTGGTGCAGTTCGTGGAGGGCTGGTTTTCACATCCCCTGCTAATGTCTTCTCTTCACCTTCAGCTCGCTGTTCAGGAGGAAATTGTGAGAACATTTATGGCAACTCTGAAAACAGAGCACACTGTTACTCCATCCTAGCTTCTACACTAGAGTTACTCTTTACACGGAAATTCTCACGCCATGATTAAGATGCTTTCAAATCCCTTGAGAAGGCAGGTCATAGAAGGAGCAAACAAGGCTGAAGCAGGCCTGAAGCAGTCAGGATCTCATTAGCTGCATCCAGTAAGAATAGTGCAGTCAAGCCTTTCACAAGCAAGTGAAGCACGAAAGCCATTAACAAGATCAGAGATACCTCACATACATGCAGATACCATAGAAAAGTGGGGCTGTGGGGTCAGAATTAGTAGGATGGATAACTGAAATTAGTAGCCCCCTGATGTGGGCACTGGGACAGGAACAAGGAAATGCAGCTATGACCTCACTTGCGTAGGTCTCACTTGATCCTACTATATATATTTCCACACTTGCATCACCAGCACACACTGCTATCCTTAATCGAAGAGCTCAGAATGACCAGAAAACTAGCATCTCACTAGTGCTTCCCAACCCTGACTACAACAAAAGCTATGTAATTTGTTATATAAATAACACTGGATTATGTATATAAAACACTGTATTTGTTATATAAAATACTCTGTATTATGTGCATAGGTAATATACCGTTGACCTACAGGTGGAATGGAGCTTTTAAATTACTGCTTGTATATTTTAAGCTTTCCTAAGAAGAAAATGTCCTTTTTCAAAAGATTCTGTCATTACATTACTTATTTGGGGGTACATGTGTGCCATGACACACATATAGAGGTCAGAGGACAAACTCAGACTTAGCAACCTGTGCCTTTGTCCACTGAACCATTTTGCCAGCCCACATATTTGTGTGATTTGTGTGTAGATACACACACACACACATATATGTATATATAAATAATTTTAAAACTGCATGATGGCTCCCACTTATAATCTCAATACTCAGTAGGCTAAGGCAAGAAGATTGCTGTTTGAGGCAACCTAGACTACAGAACACCAGGCTATCCTGGGTTATAGAGCAATCTCCAAAAAATAAAGACATTTTAAATTATTTCTCCCAACTCTTTGTTGACTTAAATAAAATTTCTGTAAAAACAGAATCCTGAAATTTCATCAGAGAAATGTTCAAAACATGTCACATACAATCTAACTGAATATCTAACAATATACAATCTAACATCATGCATACATACAATCTAACTGAAATAATCTTAGCATAGTGATCATAAGAACTTCTGCTGATGTGAACTCTCAGCCTGAGAAAGTCACCTTAATGGACAAAGTGATTTCTCAAAAATAAAACCAGGTAATGTTCTGCTACAGATTACACGTGGCTTTGAGACAGCCTAAAGCCTCCCTTTCTATCAGAGCTGCTGTGTTGACTATACCTACTTTGCGCACAGAGCCTGTAGACATGCTCCGCAAAGGGTTCATAACGTGCACGCCAAACAAAGAACTTCAGTGCCGTTGTCATCAAACTCTTCTGGCCTCAGCATTCACACTGCCTTGAAACAAATGGGAAAATGCAAACATACCAACACCAACAGTTAAGACAGCCCCTGGCACCCTGGGCACACATCATGCCAAGCAGTCCACAGATGAAGAGGCCTGGGAATGTCATCAGAGAGCTCTAAGAACAATCCTTTCTCCACACCCCTCCACTGCAGGCTCCAGTTCTTACAACCAAAGTGTGTACCATAGCCAGGCATGCCAAGGCCAGTCCTTGGGAGACTGAGGCAGAGGCTGCAGAGTTTGAGGCTTGTTTATATTGCATAGTGATGCCCACTGATACACACAAATGCAAACAAAATCATCATCTGTGTACCAGGTTCCTGGTCAGCATTTAGAATAGTTAAGGACAAGATTCAGCTTTATCTTACAACACAGCCATCGCTCCTATGATCAGTATCTAGGCACCTGACTAATGGGAAAACTATATTCAGCATGCACTCTAACCACCTACGCACAAGCTCTCTCACTGTTCCAAAGTTAAGGTGAGTGACTAGGAATGTCCTGAATGAGTTGACCAAGTAGAAAACTAATAGCCAACAAGATAAGAAAAAACATTCAGCCTACAATAGTGGCACACGCCTTTAAACCCACCAAAGGCAAAAAAGGCAAAGACAGGTAGATCTCTTGAGTTTGAGGCCAGCCTGTTCTACAGAGTGAGTTTCAGGACAGCCAGGCTACACAGAAAACTCCTGTCTCGGGGAAAACAACAACAAGCATGAGAGGCCAAGTAACCTATGTCAGGATTCAGGGGGTAGAGTTCTAGCCCTACTACCCTAAGAAACTGCCCTTTAAAAAAACAAAAAACAGAAACCAAACCAAACATCATCATCAACAATAACAAACAACAACAAACCGGGTCTCACTATGTGGTCCAGATTGGTCAGGAATTCACAACACAGCCCAGGCTGGCCCCAAACGCCCAATCTAATCTTTCTGCCTCTGCCTTAAGTACTCAGAGTATAGGTTCCAGGTATTCCTAGCAAAAGGACTGCTGTTTAAAAATATGGGAATTCTGCAGCATTGGTCACTGAGCAATTGCAAATGTGTAAATTCTGGGAGGGTTCAAAGGAGACAGTTCATGAATCTTATCCTTGAAGCTTCAGGTAGTGGATAAGAAAGCAGGGTTCAAGGATCACAAGGTCAGTGGTCACTTAGTAAATATACAAAGACACAAAGGAAAAAGTAGCCAGTTGAGCTGTAAGACTGTCTCCCAAGGCTCTGCTCTGTTTTCAAGTATGGCTCCTTATCTGAATTGATAGCTGTATCCCTGAAAAGCTAAAGGTAAAAAGGGTCAAAAATTAGCAACATTTTCTCAAATTCCTAAGAAGCAATGCTGTACTCAAATGTCTCTGATGAGCAGTGATTTGTTCACTCTGGAATGCCTACAGCATCTATGGGTGGGTACCAGCTCTACCAACCCAGCCAGTACCTATAACTGCTGTTGTGCTTTCCAGGAGACAGTGTCACCCAGTAATTAAATCAGAGGACAGGGATCCCACTTCTCTCAATAACCTGCTGACTTGCAGCCAGTTGAAAAGACTTTGCAAACCTACTTTTAAAGGTGGCTGACACAACAGGGCATCAAAAATGGGGGAGGGACATGTTCCTGTTTGGTTCAAATGAAAACTACATTGTTTCTTCAGGACTAAGACTCCACTGTCTAGACACACCTGTTTTATCGGGGTTCTCCCGATATGCGGAGATGTGGTGTTTCCTACTTGTAAATAAATATACATTCATTAGGTACCTTTCAAGTCTGTGTCTTTTGCCTTTAAAAATTTAGTACATCGCCCCCCCGTTCCTCCAAAGGTGCCGTAAGCCACCCCATTGCAGAGATATTCTTTAACTTAACGGTTCCAGTGGTAACACAAGCACGAGAAACTGTGGTTCAGAAGCTACAGTTTGCTAGACGAGCAATCCACCACAGGCATAGCATGACATCGTCCAATAGTTCTGACAGATACAAGGAAAACAGGCTCCCAGTCCTTGTTCTCAGAAAACATCCCTTGACTGTAAGAATAAAAAAAATGATTGCGTGCCTTTACACCGCACAACCGAGCGAAGGGGGCATCTTCACCTATACGATGATTGGTACAGCGCAGAGGGCAAATAAGACCTGGCTACCGTCGTTCCTCCTCTGTAACATAGAGCTCACATAGGCACTAATGTATCACCCCAAAGCCGGGTTCACCAAGTCCCACGTTATGAGGCCACCAGAAGGGACCGAGGAAAAGTAAACAGCTCCAGCCTCGGACAGCCGGGCCGGGCAGCTAGCTGGGCCGGGCACCCTCGCCCGGGGCACAAACCCGTCTCGGAGCACGTAGAGAATCTGGACAAACCTGTCCCGAGGTGATGCAAGCCTGGTGCCGGGCCCTAGCCTAGAAGCTAGCTGGAGGCCGGCTGGGCCCGCGAGTCTGCAGCCAAGGGCCTGGGGCTTCGCGACAGCCCCGGACCCAGCGCGGGCCGCCCGAGGGGGCGCCACCGACCCGGCCTCCCTCTTCCTCCCCGGCCTGGGCGGCCGCGCAGCAGGTGCCCGGAGCGCACAGGTGCGGCCCCGCCCCCGTGTCCCCGCGCGGCCGCCGTCGCCCTAGTCCCCAGCGCCCCGCAGAGAAGTGAACGCCGGGCCGCGCACCCCAACTCCTCAGCCCTGACGGCTCTGTAGCCACCGGCCGAGAGGCGGGACGCTTACCTGGACGCCCTCGCTGCGGAGCTCTGGCGGCCGAGCGCCACCGCGGGCCGACAGCATCTCCGGCCGTAGCGCAGCCCGGCCCCTGCCGCTCCTCTCCCGCAGTGCCCCGCCCCGACCTGCCCTCAACGGGACACGCCCTGGACACGCCCCTAGCCTGGGCGCTTCCGCTCCGACTCCAGTGACGAGTGGCTCTCTCGCCGTCCATCAAGGACGTGCTTCCGGGAGGTCCTGCGGGTCGGCGCTCCATCCTGCCAATCAAATCAGCGCCCCTCGGGTGGGGCCGCGCTCGTCCCTCCCTTTACGTAACTGCGCCCTGGGCGAGCTGTCAATCAAAGAAGCTTCAACCCCTGGGGAGACTGGGGCGGAAACAAACAGGCACCCACCCATTGGACGTGGCATGTGCCAGTCACCATGGAGACTCGCCCAGAGGTTTATGCGCCAACTACTGGATCTTGTCTCTGGCAGTGATTGCTGCTAGCTCCAGTCTCCGCAGGGCGCTGCCTGACTGACCGTGCAAGTTGGGGACTCTAAGCCTGTAGCTGGAATGAGAGGGCTGTCAGCTCCCTGGAGGGACAGATGTAGAAGAAAGCGGACCTAGTAAAGTTGATGTTACAGGATTCATTAATAAATTTACTTAGAAGACAATAAGTCACACAGAGTAGAGTTTAGCTAAGGTAGAGCTTCTTCTAAAATAACTGCAAGATAATGTAGTATACTAATCAGGCTTGTTAGAAATAACTCTATAAATGTTTGTTCCTGAGGCGTGATCTGCAGTTAGACTCCATTCCCATAACCCAAAGAGACAACGCTGACCTGCAATCAGACATTGATGTTTGCCATATCAGAGAGGGTGTCTCTAACAAGCAGGTCAAGCGAGGCAGAGCAGGGAGACAAACATCCTTAAGTCCTGGCCTGACATAAAGCCTGTTTTCTTCTGGAGAAAAGCGTAACTTTTTCAGATAGGCAAGATGGCCCTGGGTAACAACTATAAGAAAAGAGAACAACACTGATGTACTTAACAATAATTCTGGTCAGGCAGTAGCGGCACAGGACTTTGATCCCAGCACTCAGGAGGCAGGGGCAGGTGGATCTTCCAGGACAGCCAGGGCTGCACAGAGGAGCATGTTCACCTCGACTCCTTTTAGCCACAGTAAACCATCTCCTCCACCATACCAGAAACAGTGATGTCTTTTTCCTTTTAATGTCTTTTTTTCATTCAGGAGGCAGGTTCCTCTTTGGGCATTAGCCAGAGCCGGAAGCACACTATTACTGAACAGATTTTCTGTGTTTTTCTAGGGTATACAGAGTGGATTTCCACTGGAGAGCATATTTCTCTGCTTCAGGCCCTGCCGCCATTCCTGCAGCTCCGCTCTAGCTAGCAACAGGAGCCTCTTCACCAGCCTGTCAGGGCAACTTGGGAAACGAGGAAACTGCAATGTCACAGAGGTCTCCCACACAGAAGCCAGAGGCCCTCTCTTGTGGCAATGTGTAGCCCACCCCTGTGGTAGCTCTCACTTTAACCTGAACACACTTGTGACCTTTTCCTGCTCAAATGCCTGCCACTGGGAACATTTCATGCTCAATAAAACCCAAACTGCCCTGGCTTTCAAGACTCCCTTTTCCAGCCTCCCTCTTTCTGGTCCAGCCCAGTTCTGTGACAGCTGCCATTGGCCTTAACGACTCCAAGCCATCTAGTGGGACAGCTCTCTGATCCACAAAGCACTGAACAATCCTGGCTACCCCACATTCCTAGACACAACGCTGGATCTTCTTCTATCACCCCACTGGGTGCCTCACACTTGGGAGAGGACTTCTCTGAGTAGTTTCCTTCTTCCACTTTGGTTGCCTCTGAAATTCTCATAAGTGATTTACTAAGTGGCAGGAAGCCAAGCTCCTGATGGTGATTCCAAAGACTGGTTCTGAAATCCAACTTCCTTCCCAAGCTGAAAACAGCCCTGGGCGGCTTCTTCTAGGCCAGTTTGGATACATTCAGGCATGTTCCAGCCCCATTAATACTGGTCTTAAAATAAGAGGAAGGAGAGCTAGAAGTCCTTCCCTCCGGCCACAGAAAATTTCCTTTCCAATGTCTTTGGCCCCATTTCCCCCAGGGTCGCCATCCTCTGCTGAGGCTGCCTCTCATTTCTGGCTCCTCCAGTTCACTGTTCAGTGACTCACAAACATTCCGAGGGGGAGATCTCTCCGCTGGGTTTGTTTCACACAAGCACCCACCGGCCCACCTCACATTGGATACCCAGCCAGGTGATTCCAGGGCCGGGGTGCTTATTCCTGCTTTAGCCAAACAACCCCTACCTCCCCATCCTTCACACAGCAAGGGTTTTTCTCACGTTCTGAGGTGGGCACGCAGGAGTGGCACTGCGCTTTTCTTGGTGTGGCTGTTGGTGAAATGGCTGCATCCAGGAGGCTCCCAAAGTCTAGGCAGGGACTAAGCTAACACAGTTACGGGCACAGTCATTTACCTTGTTTCCCTGGACTTTAGGGAGAAGAGACGCACATGCCATTGGAGTTCAGAACATATCACTTTCTGTAGAGAGCAGATGAAGGGGCACCGGAGGCCAGCAGGACACAATGGCGTGAGTTTAATGACAGAGATGGAGGACTGAATGAGTTCCAGAGTAAGTAAGGAAAAGGGAGCCATGGAGTAGGCATAGGAGCTACAGAAGGAGGCTGCATGGGGTGATGGCGAGGATGTTTGGGCTGAGTTACTGGCCGGCTGGTCAGAGCACTCAGAGAAATGAGAAATGGAGCGGGTTTGATGGGGAGGCTGGGGGGAGGGGTTAGAAGTTTGGGGGCGGGGTGGAAAAGCAATGAAGTTATCATTTACTCCTTTGTTGCCTTTGTTGAGGAGCTCAGGCCTTTTGAAATTTCCAATTGGTTTCCTACTAGGAAAAGCTCAGAGTTTTTGTGGGGGTTGAGTCTGGCCCAGCTGTCCCCAGGCTCGGCACAGAGCGCTCTTCTCATACCTGGAGGGACTCTGCCAACCACAGGACGGGGCATTGCACTCCATTCTCCCTTCCCTCCCGGCACAGTTTGTTGCAGTGTGGTGTGCTGTTCTTCCGGAGATGCCATGACCGGTGTCCAACTCTCACGTTACTCAGAAAGCTCTGTGAGAGAGGAAGCATGACCGCTGGGCTCTCTGTTGTTTTCTCACACCCGGCCTTGAGCCAGGATGGAGTAGGGATGCAAAGACTGCAAAAAGGGGGGAAACGCGACGGAAGTATGTTTGTACACTCCTCCCTGCACCAAAAGTGGCTTGAAACGGTTTGTCCTTCTGAAAGTCAGGAGGAAATTGATTTCCAATGAGACTGTGTCCAGAGATGAGGCACCCTTCAGAGGGGAGTGCAGTTCTTATGAGACTCCATCTGTCACTGTGATGGCGGCTTGTGGTTGTCAGCAGAGGACCCTCGGTCAGGGGATTTGAAGCAGGAAGACCCTCCCTAAGTCTGGGTCACATTTTTTCAGAGACAAGGGCATGGAAGATGAAAACTGCTTTTTGCCTGCTCCCCCTCGCTCTTGGTGGCAAGCCAGCCTTGCTTTCCTCCAGTACAACAGAGCCAGATTGGGTCTGCTGAGACACACAGCCTCCCTCGTGGGCTGAACAACCACTGGATTCAGATAGTTAGGTGAATATACATACATACATACATACATACATACATACATACATACATACATACATATGTGTGTGTATTTACCTATATGTATTTATGTAATATATAAACTATATTTACAAATATACACACATATGTATATATTGCTGGGAATGTACACACACATATATGAATATATATTCATCCTATCAGTTCTGTTCCCTTACAGTCACCACAATGATGTATTGTTACAAAGTGTGGCTGGCCACCTATCATAGATCTTCTGTCCTTTCCTGGTTGTCCCTCTGCCATGAAATAAAGCCGCACCAGCCCTCACCAGATGCCAACATCCCACTCTTGGATTTCAGCCTAAGGAATCATGGATGAAATAATCTTCTGCTCTTTATAAATCACCCAGTCTCAGGTATTGCATTATTTTAACAGAAAGCAAACTAAGACAGAGGTCCCTAAGAAAAGGACAGTAAGTACAGATGTGCATGACTGTCACTGAAAACACGGATCAAGAGTTTGAGGTCAGCCTATGTTACATATTATCTCAAAAAAACAAACAAAGCCAGGATGGCTTATTAAAAGAGCAACGGATGAGGGTGCAGCCTCAAAGAACATTTTATGGTTATAAAGCAGTGATTCTAAACCTTTGGGTGGAGACCCCTTTGTGGGCCGAAGGAGCCTCTCATTGTTTACAGGGGCCACATATTTTGCATACCAGATATCTACATTATGATTCATAACAGTAGCAAAAATTATGGTTATGAAGTGGCAATGAGAATAATTTTATGGTTGGGGGTCACCACAACATGAGGAGCCATATTAAAGAGTCACAGTATCAGGAAGGTTGAGAACCACTGCTATAAAGAACCAAGCCTGGAAAATAATCCATCGGAGACTTTACCTATCGTGCCAATTAGGGCGAATCATTCCCTTGACTAGTCTAGAGTCACCTGGGTTACAGCCTGCTGGGAGTGCCTGTGGAGGAGTATATGTTGATCATATTAACTGAGGTGAGCTTACCTGGTCACTGTGGGTGACACCACTCCCTGACTGGAATCCTAGACTATAAAAATGGAGAAAGAAGGCTGAGCAGAAGCAAGCGCTCATTGCTCATATGACATGAAGATCCGCTTGGCGTTCCTGCTGCCTTGGCTTCCCTGCCATGGTGGATAGAACCAAAACAAGCCCTCCCTTACATTGAGTCACTGTTGCTGGACATTTTATCACAGCAAA